GTATTACAGTATTTTGTAATAAACCGGTCACCGTGCCTATTTAGTTTGGTGCTGGTAACTCATTGTCCTCGTAGAATAATGGATCTGGTCGGGGTTCTGATGCCATATGCTCGTATGGAAAATTCTGCAGTGTAGAGAGTAAGCAATACCCAATGTGTACACGTGATCGCCTTTAGGCGCTTAATGGGCGAGAATTCTCATTGTGACAAACTTTTGATTTAATGCTTTTGATTACTGTTGATTTGGTTTATATTGGGAATGTAGGGTATTTTGTTATTCTCTTCTCTCGAGGATTACGGAGGACAATGGAGGTTGTTTGTGCCTAATGATGAAATTATTCTTCAGTCGTAATTCAGAGTAATCGCTATTGTTCGCTATTGTTCCTTACTTCTATTTGGTAAAAGATGTAGGGGGATGTGGGTTATGTGTGCACAGAGGTAGACGGAGAATAGAAGCGAATCTGCTCTAATGACATTAGTTCATGGCACGCCATCTATAGTTGTTCACAGCGTACTGATACGACATCAGATGATCACAAAACGCTTCACAAAGAATCAGAACTGTGTAATGATAAGGTGAGGTGAAATTGGGTTTAACGTCGCGTCCAAGATTATTGCACTTATATAGTGACGTACATGCACGTCTGTGTGTGTGTCTGCTTGTACTAGTCCGGACTGATGTCGATTTATAGTGCTAGCTCACTGAGATACCATGCCGCAGTTTAACACGAATACCCCACTCAGACACAGTATACTGTATCCCAGCCGACAATCCTTGTTTTAGCCCCTTAATGTCGAGCGCTAAACAGGGTAACAACAAGTATGACGCGGCCGGGGATCGAACCCCGGACCTTCCGCTCTCTCGAACGCTCTACCTGTATACCATGAGTGAGTTAGTGAGTGAGTGAGTGAGTGAGAGAGTGTATAACGATCCTTTGAAAAGAATTGCGTTTATCTCACGACGTCCTTAGATTTATCATCGGGCGATGCGGTTGAAATATGAAAGTGATTATCACATGTACATTCAATAACATACGTCTGTGGGCTTTAGTGCAATTACCTGCAAACAATCAAATGATCTTTTTTCAATCTAACGGAATTCTCTGTTTACTGCATGTGTGGAGATCTTTTCAAATAGCCGAGCGTGACCTTCACGTACCGTTATTCTGTTCTGTCAGCGAGAATCGATTGCATGAGGAATCCATTTGCTAGTGAAACCATAACAAACGACTCTTGGGGCTTCAAGATTGGAAAATGATGAAATATTATTTGATAGAACTCATCGTTTTCTTCTTCCAAGTAACCAAACTTCCTTTGATAATATTGATTCAGTCTCCCTGAATGGCAGTCGTTAGAAGTATGCTTTTTCATGCGTTTTTTCAGATGCCAAGTTGTAACAGTGATCTGGGGAACAGTTACTGTTTTGTTAAACTTGAGTGTGTCAACCTTATGCCTTGTTTTGATCTGAGCTTTTGACGTCAACCATCATGTCTTGAAATATTTGACTTTACAGCTATAGTTACGGTGCGTGTCTGCCATCAATTCAAATTAAGGGGATTGCAGGCTGGACGGGTTCGTAATGTTTAATGCGGTGAGCGGGCGGTTTCAACCGTAGAAAAGAAGGCAAGCTCCATCCCAGCACGTGCCACCTTCGTTATCCTCCAGGTGGCATTTGTTTGTTTGTTTGTTTGTTGTTTAACGTCGCACTCAGCAATATTCAATATATGACGGCGGTCTGTAAATAATCGAGTCTGGACCAGACAATCCAGTGATTGACATCATGAGCATCGACCTACGCAATTGGGATACGCTGACATGCATCAAGCAAGTCAGCAAGCCTGACCACCCGATCCCTTTAGTCGCCTCTTAAGTCACGCACGGGTTGCTGAAGACCTATTTTTACCCGGATCTTGACGGATACTCCAGGTATCAACCCCAAAGGGCAGTGAACATGTGTGTGTGTGTGTGCGTGCGTGCGTGCGTGCGTGCGTGTGTGTGTATGTGTGTGTGTGCGTGCGTGTGCGTGCGTGTGCGCACGTGTGTGTGTGTGTGTGTGTCTGTATTAGTGTCACTGAAGTCAGTTGTGAAAACATTTTTCACACAAGAATGTTCTTTCGTTTGTTTAAGATTAGTTCTCCCTTAAATTCTCACCCACTAACTACATGGCTAGTATAATTAAATCGAATCTTAAATTGACAAACAAACAAGAAATATAAGAGGAAAGAAACGTATTTGGCGTCACGACAGTCCTCGCAAGCTTTTAAAGCACATCTGTGACGTCATTCTATTGTTTGAACGCTCCATTATTTTTCAGGAATGGAGAGTTGCTTGTCAACTGTACATTATCTTGAAGCAGCATTTGAATTTTTCAAATATTTTCAACTACAGAATATATTGTCAAAGTGTAAAAGTAGGGATGAGTTTTAAGTAGGGGAATATCCTCGTAACTCTCCTATCCTAAAAAATAATGGGCCTCGGCCCCTGCGGGGCCTCTGCTCCATTATTTTTAAGGAATGGAGAGTTACTCGTACATTCCCCTTTACGGTTGGGAGCTCAACAGCAGGGTTGTATCTGCCTGGCACAGTCGGGAGCTGGGAGAGCTCCGAGCAGGGGCTATCGCTGTGGTGAGTTTTGAGCCGTCGGGAGACGTAGACCAAATTAAATAATCTGGTCATTGGTGTGGTGGTCCTCTCTGGTGGTCAATACTCTCAATGGTATCCACACCGTGATCTCCCGGTTCTATTTGAGTGGTATTTAAAGACAACAATAATACTAACAATAATAAAAATTGACCTTGAACTTATTGCCAATGGAGGATCCACACTATAAAAACAGATTCTCCTTGTCGAGTCCTTTTCTAATGATATCGGCTTGTCCTTTGGGCTCGACAAATGCAACATTCTTCATCTGAAACGTGGCAAGGTAGAAGAGCGAGGATCAGTCAGTTTAGTTGGAGGAGGAGTTATTGACCATCTCGTGGAAGGTCAGGCCTAGCATTAGGGATGCAGATTAGGGACAAACTCCAGAATGCCCATATCAAGGAAAAACTTCGGGCAGAGTACAAATGTAGACTGAAGAAAATCTGGAGTTCAGAGCTGAACGCTCGCAACAAAGTAAAAGTCACAAATACTTATGCTGTACCCGTCCAATTAAAATAATAAAAGACAATTTATATTGGCTCATGTTTCCACTCGGGGGCATGTTTAAAGCGCTATTATTTCCCCGGTCACTGGATCAGTGTGCACTCAAGAATCATTCTCAGCTCCCTGGGGAGTATCCAACCCAAGCTGTCTGTTAGGCGCCAAAGAAGGTAAACAACCACATTGCCATCTCATCTTACCGGGTACCCATTTACTGCCGGGTCACATTTCGAACAAAGTCATTTGAACAAGGAGACGCCACATGTGGTACATGTGCTTCAGTGTGGGGCAGGACCGAAGCCCTAGAAACTCTCAGGAGCCTAGCTGCCGAAACGTGGTCACCCATCCAAGGACTCACCGCGACCGACGTTGCTCAGCTTCATCTGATTTTGACCTGTGCGCTGTGCACAGGACCACGAGCTGCCACACATTCTTTCCGAATGCCCACGTGGGACAATGGGGGAACAATGTGAAGAGAGTGTCGGTGATGAAATGAGATGAGTCTGAAGGGTCAAAATAAGTTTGAATTACGAAAATTAGAAAGTGGCTGCTTTCAAATAAATGCCACAAGTTCAACGTTTCAACGAATGTGGAATCGAAATTCGCCACTTTCTATTCCCACCGTGGAATAAACGGGATACTGACTACGATGGAAAACAATATTCATTCTCTCTCTCCGTCCATTTGAATCGCATTGACGATACCCCGGGGGGCTTTCGGAACAGTCTACAATCACACACCAATGTTAATGGGCAAATATCCACGGATCTGATTCTAGCCGGGGCAAGGGTATCTCCTCACATTTAATAGCCTGGGGGATCTGTGATGTTGGTTTGAGTCGGAATAATTCTTAGCGTTTCGCACATTTATTACACACTATCTTTCAGACCACCCAGTCTGTCCAGTGAACGATCCTGTGTGTTACCGATAGACACATTCTTTTCCAATAATCCGCTAGAGTTATGTCCCTTAGGCGTTTCGGGATCCTATGATCATGGGCTTGAATACAGATTCACGTTCGATTTGTCAGCGCCATCTGCTTTTGGTTTCTGCAAATTGGGAAACGTGATCACTTAAGCCGAGGCTACTGAAATAGTGCTCGATATGGCGTTAAACACACTCACTCACTTACGGCTGTTCGATAACAGAATTTATTACCTACGTGGGCAAACATATCGGGGTTTATAAAAACCATATGTGCCCTTGGGTCATATCACGTCTCGAGACAACAGCGTATTGTTTCCGTCATCCGGACGGCATTGTCGACGTCATTCGATTCTTATTCTGACGTGAGGTCGGAATGACGTCACACTAGAAACGATGTCATGGCTGAAGATTGTTGACGTCATTCGACAAATTGTGGTTTCGCTGTGGTTGCGACTTGCTGTCCCTAAAGGTAAACACTAAAATTCGCCTCTGTATGTAGAAATCTTATTCGGTAATAAATAGAACACGATATTGTTATATTATAGAACACGAATACAATATACTCTATCCCTTTCCGATTTACGAGATTTGCTGATATTTCACAGATCATACTAGTCCTTCGCCATGACTGCAGTACATGATGCGGCTGAAAACAATACTCACTCAGCCGACTCAAAGCTTATGAGTGAATGAATCAGTATGGTTCTACGCCGCTTTTAGCAATATTCCAGCAATATCACGACGGGGGACACCAGAAATGGGCTTCACACATTGTACCCATGTGGGGAATCGAACCCGGGTCTTCGGCATGACGGACGAACGCTTTAACCACTAGGCTACCCCATCGCCCAAACCAAATCAGAAGAAGAAATATTCTTTCGAAGACAGTCTTTTTAGTCTAAGATCATGCCTGAGCCCAAAGTTTTTGTTTCAGCTGGCTGACGAACGAGATGAGTTTGGTGTGCCGCCTGTCATCATTGCTCTGCAGCAGTACCAGGAGGACATAGTGCGCCACCTGGTGGAGGCAGGAGCAGACGTCAACATTCAGGAAACGAGAAATCTCAGAACACCTCTACATTACGCACTGTACACAAAAAAGTTGAAGATACTAGAATTCCTATTGGGGTAGGTGTTCCATTGTGCTAGTGTTAACTTGAATTCCCATTGGGGTAGATGTTCCATTGCGAGAGTGTTAACTTGAATTCCTATAGGGGTAGGTGTTCCATTGCGCGAGTGTTAACTTGAACTCCTATTGGGGTAAGTGTTTCATTTCGCGATTGTTAACTTGAATTCCTATTGGGGTAGGTGTTCCATTGCGCGAGGGTTAACTTGAATTCCTAATGGGTGGATGTCCTTTTGCGCGATTGTTAACTTGAATTCCTATTGGGGTAGGTGTTCCATTGCGATAGTGTTAACTTGAATTCCTATTGGGGTAAGTGTTCCATTGCGCGAGTGTTAACTTGAATTCCTATTGGGGTAAGTGTTCCATTGCGCGATTGTTAACTTGAATTCCTTTTGGGGTAGGTGTTCCATTGCGCGAGTGTTAACTTGAATTCCTATTTGGGTAGGTGTTCCATTGCGCGAGTGTTAACTTGAATTCCTATTGGGGTAAGTGTTCCATTGCGCGAGTGTTAACTTGTATTCCTGTTGTGGTAGATGTCCTTTTGCGCGATTGTTAACTTGAATTCCTATTGGGGTAGGTGTTCCATTGCACGATTGTTAACTTGAATTCCTATTGGGGTAAGTGCTCAATTGCGCGAGTGTTAACTTGAATTCCTTTTGGGGTAGGTGTTCCATTGCGCGATTGTTAACTTGAATTCCTCTTGTGGTAGGTGTCCCATTTTGCGGTTGGTAACTTGAAATCCTTTTTTGTTGGTGTCCCATTTCGCGATTGTTAACTTGAATTCCTATTGGGGTAGGTGTTCCATTGTGCGATTGTTAACTTGAATTCCTATTTGGGTAGAAGTGCAATTGCGCGCTTGTTAACTTGAATCCCTATTGGGGTAGATGTCCTTTTGCGCGATTGGTTACTTGAATTCCTAATGTGGTAGGTGTTCCATTGCGCGAGTGTTGACTTGAATCCCTATTGTGGCAGGTGTCCCATTTCGCGATTGTTAATTTGAATTCCTATTGGGGTAGGTGTTCCATTGTGCTAGTGTTAACTCGAATTCCTAATGGGGTAGGTGTTCCATTGCGAGAGTGTTAACTTGAATTCCTTTTTTTTGTAGGTGTCCCATTTCGCGATTGTTAACTTGAATTCCTATTGGGGTAGGTGTTCCATTGCGCGAGTGTTAACTCGAATTCCTATTGGGGTAGGTGTCCCATTGTGCGATTGTTAACTTGAATTTCCTTTGGGTAGGTGTCCCATTTCGCGATTGTTAACTTGAATTCCTATGGTGGTAGGTGCCCCATTTTGCGAGTGTTAACTTGAATCCCTGTTTGGGTAGGTTCCCAATTTCGCGATTGTTAACTTGAATTCCTTGCTGGTTGATCATTGCATGATTGATTCTTTGTAATTCCTCGTTGGTCAGGAGGACCATTGCAGGCATTAGTTCCATTTGTTGTTGGCATTAGTTCCACTTAATGTATGTTGCTCATTGTACGATTGCAAACTTCTCTCTAAAATAAATCTATTTGACGCATATATTGACTATTAATGTAAATTGTATCGCGAAATGAGGTCACCATTTCTATTGAGGACAGTAATGGGTTATATGTGCGAGGAACCCTTATGGCATATTGCCTATGGTGGAGCTCGGCGTCAATTATTGCTATGTGACACCGGTCTAATGATTTATACCAGTTTATATGAGCATTAAAACAACATATTACCATGCCCATTTTGTGCACGAACTCGCATGGCAATATTGACTCGATGGAATAACGATTTTCCGTAGCGGTAATGAGAGTATAAGGTCTGGTTTGGAAACACTTGGAGAAACCTACTGAGCGAGTGTCATTGTGCGCTAATCAATTCATCGCCATACAGAGATGATGATATCAGCGACAGCATCTCCCATTAGTCTCGACCACGGCCCCCCCAAAAGTCTTACATCTGAGGATGATGATATATAGTTTGGTTCGGAGGCTGTCATTTGGTATGCTAACCGGATTTTACTTGTCATTAAGTGTTCGGAAGATTTTGAAGATACATACATTTTGATGAGGAGGATTTCCAAATGGATTAGGGCACAGTGACATTGACACAGCTGGCGTTTTTTCTTGTGCTTTCTTGGACAATGTGGGTGTATATAAGAGTCACCGTTACGTATAATTATCGACATCCTGAAGCTGAGATGCAGCTGCTACGCATCATATGACCTCTCATCAGCATGGTGTGTATATTTGATAGGCGTAAACGATTTCATCTTCCCAAAGCAAGTTTGTCAACTGACTATAAAAGTCCAGTTTCCAACCTTGCCGAACGAAGCTGGTATTTTGGCTGGACTAACGAATCTATGCGTAGTCCAATCAAAATCGGGTAACGAAATCGACATCCGGTTCGTAATCAGCCGTGTTGATTTCAGTCGATTGCAGGATTTGCATAGCATGGCTACCACTAACTCGGCTTCAACAGATATTTTCCAAATCTTTTCATGTTTTTAATCAAGGTGCTCACGTGATTTGATGCACTTCGCGAAGAAAGACCCGTTTTATGACCATGTAGATTTTGATTATCGATCAGATTGGCTTGCCCCTGAGCCGCCATTTTGTTTGAAGCAAATGCAAGTGATATGAGAGGTGGAATCTGATTTGTCAATAGGAGGGACATAGAAGGGACATAATTTGTAATAGCCTCTGGTGGCGCTTCGATCGAGCCCAGCGATTCCAGCCGATTTCGACAAGGATGGAAACTGGACTTTTACTGTCCGTTTACTCCCTTGCCTCGGGAAGATGAAATGATTTAGATTTAGCGCCGCTTTGAACACTGTTTCAGTTTAATCACGACCTGTCAATATGCATGTCTTAGACGTTTACCACTGCATACACCCACGGGTATTGTTCCGATTCCAAGAATCAGAATGAGAGCAATTCTAGGATTCGAACACCTGATCATATGATTCTAGAGGACATAAGGGACGTAACTCTCCACAGGGGAATGCTGTATATTACACGGCTTATCCGCCCTTGTCGCGCTGATAGGACTGAGTCGCAGACGGAGCAGCTATCGGTAGATCGCATCTCGCGGGATCTCGCCTTGCTCGTTAACGTAGATGACTATTTGTGTCACAGGTCTTGGACATTAAGGCGGTGTCCTTATGTCGAGAGTATTATTATTCTCATTCTTGTAATTCGTAAGATTCTTGTCAAATGTCCCTCAAGATCGCCTAGATTAAGGCTCTGTTTAAATAGCTTGACATTTCTAGGACTTAAGTCAAGGATTGATTTATAATTTCCGTTCACATTAAAGGCTTTTCGCTTCGAGATGAACGTGGGAAGTTGTCATGGAGACAAGAATGCTTGTGAGACCTAGTTGCACGCATATGTACCCTATCACGGATCACATATACATTGTAGCATTAACTGGGATATCACATTCGGCCATCATGAAGACCGGTTAGTTGTAGTTGGTAAAGTGATGGCGCGTTTGTAACAGCACGAACCAGTCTAGCTGAGATTAGACGAAGCTGGTCAGTGAGAATGATTAGTACGGTTGCAGACACACCAAAGCGTCTTGTAACCCCACATATTGAGGTATTTTTCATTTCAGGGTCCAATTTGTTGAAGAATGTTTTGTCATGTAAGGTGTGACGTGTCAATTACAAAGAAGGACTATTCAGTAAAACCTCTTTCACTCAAAATATTCGGGACAAGCAAACGTATGAGCTATGCGTCCATTGAGTCAAGCGGGGTGCCCACAGTAAAAAATAAGGATTCTGCTGCGATCAAAAAGTTGTATTATCTTATAATTTTAAATATATATATATATACCAACTCAAATTGACACGCTCTATTAACTATTCGGGGCTGTTGGGGTAGCCTTGTGGTTAAAGCGTTCGCTCGTCACTCCGTGTTCGATTCCACACATGGGTACAATGCGTGAAGCTCTTTTCTGGTGTCCCCCGCCGTGATACTGCTGGAATATTGCTAAAAGCGGCGTAAAACCATACTCACTCACTCACTCACTATTACCTCTTCCATATCTTTTCTTAGTCACAATCCGGACCTGACGAAAACTGACCATCGAGGGACCACGATAGTCCACCGGTCCAGTGCAATACGAGACAAGCAGTACCTGGAGGCGGTCGTGAGGCTGAGCAAGGCTCCTCCAGACTCTCTGTGGAGGATGGCGGACGAGGAGGGCAACACCGCCGTCATGTTGTCGTGCCAGAACGACAACTACGACCAATTAGTCATCCTTCTGGAACAGGGGGTAGGTGTCAATGCAGACGAACGATGACAACATAGACGGGTTGCTTTGATGTCAGAGTTTTTTTTAATGTGAACGTGTGGATTCAATGCTCTGTCGTTTTAGGACGAACGAAACATGATTGTGAATACAGTAAATGATTTGTTCCAAAATGCCAAATGCTAGGTGATTATTTTAGGAATGGTGGTGTTTGATATTGGTGAATGTTGCCTTTGATCGTCAGAAGTTGCGTTCGTTATTTGCGGGTGAAGATGGTGTTTGTACTTAGGAAAAAACGGTGTTTGATTTTACGGATGGCGTTGTCAGTAGGGAAGATGATGTTTTTAGAGACAAGATGGCATTGGTTTGTACGGACAAGGGTATTTATGCGTAGGGAAGAAAGCGTTGTTTATACGGAAGATGGCATTGGTTTGTACGGACAAGGGTATTTATACGTAGGAAAGATAGCGTTGTTTATACGGAAGATGGCATTGGTTTGTACGGACAAGGGTATTTATACGTAGGGAAGATAGCGTTGTTTATACGGAAGATGGCATTGGTTTGTACGGACAAGGGTGTTTATACGTAGGGAAGATGGCGTTGTTTATACGTAGGGAAGATGGCGTTGTTAATACGGAAGATGGCGTTGTTTATGCGGAAGATGGCGTTGTTTATACGGAAGATGGTATTGAATTGTATGGACAAGGGTGTTTATACGTAGGGAAGATAGCGTTGTTTATACGGAGGATAGCGTTGTTTATACGGAAGATAGTATTGAATTGTATGGACAAGGGTGTTTATACGTAGGGAAGATAGCGTTGTTTATACGTAGGGAAGATAGCGTTGTTTATACGGAAGATAGTATTGAATTGTATGGACAAGGGTGTTTATACGTAGGGAAGATAGCGTTGTTTGTGGGGAAGATGGCCTTTGAACGTAGGGAGGCGAAATATGATCGTCTGAACATGATATTTGATCATTTTGTACGAATATTGAATAAGCATTGAATGTACAGAGGAAAACTGTTCGATCTTAAGGGAAAGGCATTTTTCGATCGCCGCTGAATGTACACGCATCGTACAGAGAGTCGTGTTGGTTAGAGGTTTTATGGCTCAATTGAGATCAGCGTCCACAATGATGGCTTAATATAAAACGATAACAACTAAGATCCATTCGTAAATTATCGATAACCATCGAGAACTTGTCTTACTGAACAATGTTTTTCAGATCCCGATAAAGTCTAGAGGTTCATTTGTGTATTGTAATTTTATACACGGGATCTGTCGATATGGGATAACCGACAAGGAAATGTCACATAGCTGTTCCAGGTCAGGAAATGTCGATCACATTAATCGTAAACCATGTTCGAGGAAATCGTAGATTACTGATAACAAATTTCTTGCGTAATTTCGATTTCTTGTATTGACGGAGCTAAATACAACGTATCCCCCGCAACGTTGAGTGACGCGCCCTCCCCACGTGACACATTACGATAGATGATAGATCGGGCTGAGGCTTTTTCATACATTAATTTACGCATAAGAAAGGCAGAAATGTCAAATGCTACCAAACACATTTTATATGTATTATTTACGAATACATAAAACATAGAATAGATGCTCATTCCATTTCCCGAATGTATATAGATCTTGTAAAAATGCGAAACTATTGAGCATTATGTATATTTATCGATAGTTTTTTGTTTTTGTTTTGTTTTATAAAACAAAAATCTAAACAAATATATTGCTGGAGTTGACATATCGATTCACGACTGGTTATTATACCCCGCCACGAAGTGGAAGGGGGATAAAGGGAAGGGTGCTGTCCGTCCGTCCTTCCGTCAAGTTAAAAAAAATGAGTTATATCTTGGCCAAACTTGGCACATAGATAGGTCTAATGGTGAACAGGTGCCTTTTGATGGTTTAGGGTGTTATGTTTCGAGTTTCCATGGCAACGACTTTGACTTAGAAATGACGGTATGGGGTGGGTGGGGAAGAATGGGGTCTGACTGGTCCATGAGTAGGGTTTTATTAAGGTAATATCCCCTAACGATATTGTGGTAGCATCACCTAGAATGCAACTCACGCGTTGTGCCTACGTGGGGATTCGAACGAAGGTTTCTGGGTGACGAGCGATCACTTCAACCACTATGCTACATCATCCCCCAGCATACATTGCTCACCTGGGTGGGAGAAATACCATCAGCTACAGCTTAAGGAACCTATATTTCCCATTTGCTAGATGTATGTACAGATTATTTTAATCTCATGGAAAGACACAATTTGCTAACAGCTATCCTTTTCAATGAAGGTTTCCCGTAGGCCCGAGGCTGACAGATTTGTTCTCGGGCAGTTTTAAAATTCAGCAAAGCCTTACGGCCTACAGTTTATTTACAGTTTGTTTACGTAATTATTTATGAAGCATTATTGCAATTATGTGATAAACATAACTGTCATATTTATAAACAGTAAGGTTAGACCTTTCAAATGGCGTATGATATGTAGTAGCATAGATATTTTACAAGCTGATAATATCCTGATAAATGTACGCTTCATCTATCACCACCAAGTCTCTGGGAACTCGATGTGAAAGCAGTAAAAGATTCTGCTTGACTGGTTGTAGTTTGTAGTTTATATTGCGAGGGTTTGTCTCTCTGCTTCAGCTAAAATGTTTGGGCCTACAGTTTTTCCACTCGGCCTACAGTTGCTCCACTCGGCCTACAGTTTTTCCACTCGGCCTACAGTTTTTCCACTCGGCCAACAGTTTTTCCACTCGGCCTACAGTTTTTCCACTCGGTCTACAGTTTTTCCACTCGGCCAACAGTTTTTCCACTCGGCCTACAGTTTTTCCACCCGGCCTACAGTTTTTCCACTCGGCCAACAGTTTTTCCACTCGGCCTACAGTTTTTCCACCCGGCCTACAGTTTTTCGACTGGGCCAACAGTTTTTCCATCCGGCCTACAGTTTTTCCACTCGGCCTACAGTTTTTCCACTCGGCCTACAGTTTTTCCACCCGGCCTACAGTTTTTCCAACCGGCCAACAGTTTTTCCATCCGGCCTACAGTTGTTCCACTCGGCCTACAGTTGTTCCACTCGGCCTACAGTTTTTTTAAATGTGCTGTCCCTTAAGGCTCTCAGTTTACTCTGCGGAGTTTCAGACAGTGAAGGATTGTATATTTCCAGAACATTACCCAATTCGTTAATCCGGACACTTATTATTCCGGACTAATTAAACGGGAAGGTACTGTCCAGTTTAACGAGGTTCCACTGTATGTGAACAGAGATATATAATCAGACAACAGTCTCGTACATAACTCCCATCTGAGTCTCTGGTGCTCCATGCCTGACAAACTAGACGTGTTCTCATCAGTAACGGGGGGCTGCACTCTTCCTGTCAATGAAATTGACAATCAGTGACATTACTAGACCCTGGACAGGATCGGGAGACCTTGTAGAGTAGTGCGACGGCCACTACTATTGATCGTTACCATATCTTACAAAAGCAATTGTTATGGAAACTGATGGAACGTACATGGGGGCAGATGTTGCTGCAAGATGCGAGTGCCATGAAAACGAAATGACATGCAGCATCCGACAGCGCCCCAGACAACACGGTAAATTAATAATGGTAGGTAGAATTACCCAGTGGGACAATGAGTAGTGTCTTGTAGAAGCTGTACATAGCGACGGGGTTTGCACTGCCAGAGTATCAGACACCTATACTCGGGTAGTAGGGCTGTACTTTTTTGGATAGAACTGTTAATTGTCTTTTAGCCAGTGAACAACAATACTTACTGATTTTACTCTCATCTCGGTCCATACGAGCACATTTCGCCTTTCCTACATTCAAAGGCCATCTTCCCCACAAACAACGCCATTATTCCTACGTACAAATACCCTTGTCCGTACAATTCAATACCATCTTCCGTATAAACAACGCTATCTTCCCTACGTACAAACGCCCTTGCGATAGCTCCTGTACTTAGATACTTTATCACAGACTTAAGCAGGTCGTAGCTAAGATGGCTTTGTGGAGCGTGACCCTGAACTTTCAACTCAGGTTTATGGCGGGGCGCGTCCGTCTGTCTGTCTGTCCATTCGTCCATCTGTCGTAAACTCTTTTACATATTCGACATCCCCTCTGAAGCCCCAAGGGCTTAGATCCCAGCTGTGGTACCTCTAAAACGTTCTCATACAATTCCGATCTGATCTTAAACATGGCAGCCATACTGAAAATACCATTTTGTCCGTTACAAGTGCACCAATTGAAATTTGGTATGTGGTTTTTGGAATGCATTTTGAAATTGCCACTCTTTGACCCTCTATTGAGACTGTTATTCGTATATCAATGAGGAAACACTTAAAAATGGGCGATGCATCGCTCAGTACAAACTTATGTTACGTTTGTTTTGGACATAATCTTCTTTAGACTTGTGGGGTCTTTCTGATTTAATGAGGGGGCACGGGTGTCCCGATTCGCTGTGACGAGTTGCGTCCCTTTGGCACGCCAGAAACCTCTGATTGTGGATTCGAATCCAGGTTCGCCCCTATATTTCTAGGTTTGTCAGCACCATACCCGTACTCGTGGATTTCACCGAAGTGGTAGACGTCTGAGATCTGCATCACTTCGGGCTTTCCTCCCACATTAAGCTGACACACCATGATGTGACAGGAATACTGTTAAAAGCCGCGTTAAACCCAACTCACTCACTCACTCACTCACTCACTCGATACTTGTAACTTTAATGATCCCCAGGGCTTTGAATCAAAGACACCGTCACATTGGTTTAAATACACTTAGTCTAAAAACCCGAATACAAATGTTGTTTTATGCTTAGCGTGTCTAATATTCACAAGCCTTTACCATGCTGCAGGCGACGGTATCCGACCATGACAAGTACGGACGAACAGCTTTACACCACTGTGTGGAGAATACGGAAACAGAATGTGCGGAGCTCCTTCTTCAAACGGACACCTCGTTATTAAACACGCCGGATAAGGAAGGTCTCACTCCTCTGCATATGGCCGCCATTACCGGAAACAGCAACTTTCTCCGTCTGCTGCTAAAAAAGGGCGCGAATCTGACATGTCGTGACCAGGAAGGGCATACAGTGGTTCACTGGGCAACAGGTGGGTATTATAATAATGGTGAGTAGATTAGACACCACGTGATGTGCAGACGCTCGGGTACTTGCATTGTGACGTCACGGCATGCTGAATGAGACTGTCTGGGCACACATTCGGACCCGATCGGCATGTTCCGCTACTACGCCGGGAAGCACGGAGAAGTGGTGTTGCAATCGCATGGTTTCACTGTAATGGAGTTTGTATACTGTACATCCGTTTATAACAGAAAGGCTAGTGTTACAGATCTTAACAGAAATAAGGTTTATACTTAATTGGAAAATCGACAACGGAAGAAGTTTCAACGGTTACGCAAGGTTCATGTCTACAGCAAGGTTGTGTCACGTGGTTAGACACGTGAACGAAACGAATTCCAAAATGGATTCTTCTCGGTTATAGCCGAGGTCCTTCGAGACTAAGACGTTCCGATTGACTCGGTACAGTCCGTCTGTAAGCGGAGTGGAAAGGTTCCAGATTTTGTAATGGTCTACATTATACAAAGGAGAGTATGGAAAAGTTGGCACAGAGGAAAGATAGATTCACAGATAAATTATTTGTTCATTGTGCCTTTTATGGCGACCACAATGAGGGGATAAATGGCGACCCCAATGCCCTGATGTCCTCCATTCAAGCATACACATGATTAGTGACATTATATTGTACAGACCTTTAAGTGTGTACATTGATCGATTGTCCCTGAAAACATTTAGTTCGCAACGAAAAGGTAAATATGTCATGTTTACTGAAGCAGCAAAACATGTTGCTTTTCAAGACTGAATAATCAACGATATTGCATTTTACACTATTTTGTTCTCGACATTAAACATTGATATTGTTACCAGAGCGTGATGATCGGTATGATCTGATAACATTCTTATAACACAATATAGAACAGTTGTTACAACCTTCTGCCATGGCAACCATTTGTGATGACTTTTACACTGTCAGTATTCTAGAATTACCAGAATTTGTTTCTTGTGTTTTGTTTTTGTATTGTCGAAGATGGTAGTTACCATAGTAACGCATGAAGTAGCCACAACATGCCTTTCGCACCTATATATATAATATTAAATTCCTCAACAGTCTGAATATATCGCCTTAGCCGCATATTGAAGCGCTTTAGAAGTCACGTTAGTCAGGGCATGTTCATCTTCGATATTCAAGGTATTTTATCTACCTTCTATTTGAATAAATACCCTGAAGTCATTCGCAGCTTCGTTTTGTAAGTGACGTCATCCGTTCATTTTTCTATCAGCAAACCAAATCTCTCTTGTTCATGAGCTTGAATTCAACAACCAGTCAAAATAGCTACCTGAATGAGAGTTCGAAACAAATCTAATTTCAAAATTGTTCTCTCGAGTATTTAGGTATGAGGTAGGAAGTCCTATCCTATCAGGCGTTTCCAGATGTATATGTGACTGAAGCCAATTTCTGGTGTCCGCTGTGAAGTCCTTTTCTGGTGTTCCCCGCCGTGATATTGCTGGAATATTGCTAAAAGCGGCGTAAAACCAGACTCACTCACTTGTTTTGACACGGCATGCGTCAAAGTGTCATGTGTCTAGTGGGGGCACGGGTAGCCCAGTCGTCTAAGGCGCCGCGACTCGTTGTGCAGAGTTGCGTCCCTTGGGCACGACAGAAACCTATGATTGTGGTTTCGAATCCCGGTTCGCCTCGATTATGTTTCTAGGTTTGTAAGCACGGGTATCACGGAAGTGGTAAACGTCTGAGACCTGCATCACTTCGTGCTTTCCTCTGATATTAAGCTGACACGCCGTGATATAACAGGAATACTGTTAAAAGCGGAGCTAAACCCAACTCACACACTCATGAGTTAAGTACTGGTGATATTACCGCTTGTTTCTACGTGAAAGAACGAGGAATTTGATTGGACAGATTTATATAGGAGTTCATTCGAACCTGACTCAAAACGAAGCATAGGCGGCAACAGGGTATTTATAATGATAGAATGAGATACAATCTCCTGGCACACCGAGGATGGGGCTTGTACGTATTTGATTGCTCGTATGTCTTTCAACAGATAGGGGAACTCTGTGCAGGGGTATTAATGGTAAGAGTCTGAACACCGGGTGTTGATGCACTGTCACATTGGCGTCTCGTTTTCTAATTCCTCAGTCTACAGTTTCTAACTGACACACATTGTATCGAGGACAACACTCTAGACCAGACCCGTGAAGACCCGGGGAAGAATAGGTCTTCAGCAAGCTGTGTCGTAAAAGGCGACAATGCTTGTTGTAAGAGGCGACTAACGGGATCGGGTGGTCAGGCTCGCTGACTTGGTTGATGCATGTCGTCTTATCCCATTTGCGTGGATCGATGTTCATGATGTCAGTCACTGGATTGTCGGGTCCAGACCCGATTATTTACAGCCCGCCGCCATATAGCTGGAATATTGCTGAGTGTGGCGTTAACCCGCTTGATACTGATGTGTGCGTGATGTAAGTTGAATTTTATTCGACTTCAAAGTGAGGATTGAAGGGGGAGGACAATGATATCCCCCTGCACGTTCAGGGGATTAAACAACAAACAAACAAAACCCTAGACCAGAGTTGCGTGTGCAGGCGACTAACAGAATTGAAGTGTTTCCACAGATACTACTACTACTACTAATAATAGACCATTTATATTGCGCATATTTCCACACCACTCAGTGACATGCTCAAATCCTGCTTATGATATCAGTCACTGGATCAGTGTGCACTCAACAATCATTCTCAGCTCCCTGGGTAGTATACAGATCAGTCACAGGGACTTTGTGCACGGTCTTCACGCACCGAACACATTGCATGAAGTGTCAGCTACCGTTATCGTATCCTCTCATCCGTTCCTAGTTTAATATCAATTTTTCCCTACTAGTGGCTTCGGATCGTCCCTTTTGAAAAGTCTAACCCTTTCCGCTGTAGGCTTTACTCCTACATCTTCGCGTGGCTACAAATCAGAAAATATTTTAGAAATAAACTTACCAATCTGGCCCTTATATTTGAATTACTTTCCTCAAACTACGTTTGCTGTAAGTTGAACTTTAAATTAGTATTCCAGAAACACGGTATTGGTTCCGAAACTATTTGTTTTTGTTTCCGATCTGGAATCCTTATTCAAAGTTCACTCTTTTGTGACGACGGGACAATCCATATCTCCAGTTGATAGATTGATGTTAAACGATGAAGGATGCGGGGATCGGTAACCGCAGCTATTGAATGTCAGCACAGAGTACCATGATGCACGTTGTGAGAAAGGCAGGTGACAAACACTACACCATTCGGTTTCGACTAACTTTATCATATCGGTTCGAATCCCAAATATAACCGATCGTTAACGATCCTCGCTCTGTACCTATCCCAGCTGTGGGTTTCACTTAAATTTGTACACGTCCAAGACCTACGTCACTTCTGGTTTTTCTCCCACATTATGCTGACTCAACGTAATGTAGATGAAATATTGTGTAAGCCTCATTGAACCCAAATCACAACAGTTTATTTTCATCGACTCGTTTGTCAGGATCACTCCCATTTCAAAATATTACCCATCAAAGTATAATTGTAAAGATCAGGGTCCACATGCACAAAGCGATTTTAGTGCTAAGATGAGCGTAAATCCAACCCTTTAACGAAGGATTACGATAGTCGTAGCGCTGAGCTCACTTTGTGCAAGTTGGCCAAGGGGCCCGTCTCACAAAGCGATCGTAGCGCTAAGATGATCGTAAACCCCATTCTTTAACGAAGGATTACGATAGTCGTAGCGCTGAGATCACTTTGTGCAAGTGGGCCCAGGGCCCGTCTCACAAAGCGATCGTAGCGCTAAGATGAACGTAACTTCCATCCATACTTTAACATAGACTTACGACTGTCGAAGCGATATGATCGCTTCGTAGAACCACGGACCTATATACAAGTCCGTGGTAGAACAAAGCCGTGTTCGTTATGTGAAGAAATCAAATTTCACCTTTGAAACGCCACTCACAAGACGTAATGTATGTTTGCGGATTTTTTAATGTAAAAGAGTTTGAACACTTCCTCAAAATTACGCGTCACCAGACTTCGTAAGTTTTTCACATAACCGATCTTGTACGTTTCGAATAGTGCAACTATGTGGTTAAATTTCCCATTACCACGTTGAAGAAATGTGAGTAAGCCGTACACCTCTATCTTACTGCTGATGTAAAATGTCAGTGAGAATGCGTTGATGTGTATGGTCCAACAGACATATATCGTTAGCTGTAATCAATACTCTTGTTAGAACATGAATATACAAGACAGAATAGTTCGTCGTATAAACGCAAATACTCTGCAGCGTTTGAAATTGGCACTAGTCCTGTAGTCCTTACCAAACTGCCCAATAGTAAAGGTATCCTTAGGAATAGTAGAAATTGGCCCATTTAAGGGTTTTGCCATATGTTATCATTATAAGGACTAGTGGACAAAAACTGTTAGTTTCTAACCCTGGTCTGGTTTGATCATGAGCATACAGAGGAGAATAAGACCGCCTCCGTGGTCTAATGGTAGAGCGTTTTCTCGGAGCGTCTGTCTGTCTTCAAATAACTACCGAAACTTATAACCTAGACCTCTATGGTCTTAAAATGTTTTCAAAGGCAAGATGAATTATGATCCAAACCTTCATCCACCCGTTACACTCCTTATTGTATTATAATTTCAATGAACATCTGAAGATCCGGGTAGGAATAGGTCTTCACAGACCAATGCTTGTCGTTATAGGCGACTGCGCTTGTCGTAAGAGGCTTTCTAACGGGATCGGGTGGTCAGGCTTGCTGACTTGGTTGATGCTCATGATGCTCACTGGATTATCTGGTCCAGACTCGATTATTCACTGACTGTCGTCACATAGTTGGCAAATTGCTGAGTGCGGCGTTTAACAACAAACCAACCAACCACGGCTTGGCTGATTCCATGTCCTTGTACCTTTACGGCGAACGTGAATCGTCGCTCACAATATCAATCACTGGAAACAAACAAACAAAATGTAATTTCAATACGATTTGCAAGAGTAGTAATTAATTTCTATATATCTTTCACTATTAATGTGAGAGCTACGAGTACGTATATTCCTCAGTTAATGACGTTTTAATTCATCCGCAGTAACGGGCCATACCGAGTGTCTGGAGATCCTGATCGACCACGACGCCGATCTCTCCACCCCCGACAAACACAAGGCCCGCCCCATCCACTACGCTGCTCAGATAGCTCGGGATGGCTTCAACACCCAGGGCAAGGAAGATAGTACCCAGGTGCTCAGGCTGCTTCTCCAACACCAGGTGCCCTACGACATCACCGACAAAGATGGCCGCCAACCATTATTATGGGCGGCTAGTGCAGGTAAAGAATAGATCACTCTTTAAATGTGATAATAATTGATATTAACATGCTTTGCCATCTGATTATTCCTCTCTGGCACACAATATATCATTTAAGATATGTATCTCAGTTTCAACTCTCTTCAAGGTCACATGCTTGGCTTGGGTCAAGGGTAACGTTAACGTAATATCCTCCATATCAAACGTCAACGTCTGAGAACAAAACAAACCGCAGGCGTTTACGCTTCTGGCGTTTGACGTTTCCTGTAAAATATTGATCGATGACAATTCCAATCTAGACTGAAAACAAATGCTTTTTTATAGTGTTGACTTTCAAAATGTTAAAGAAATGGAAACCCACGCCTACCATGGCACGGACATTTGCGAAGTGAGTCTCTTTGACGGAGTTCCTGTTGATCGGATGTAGCAGTTGATACAAAAGCTGAATCGTTCTTGTCTGCTAAAACGACTCGAGAATGATGTCCCAGTGCCATGCTATTTTTTTAGAGTATTTCGTTCTTTAGTTTAGAAGCGACTGGCACTTTGACTGTATACTCATTAATTGCAGTCGAGTTATACGAGTTATATATCGTAATGTACTAGTAACCATAAGGATACAACAGTAAAGTATGTTTATAACGAACACGCTTATAACGAACTGACCGATACAACGAACATATTTTTTAGTCCCGACCATTTGTTGTATAAATGCTTTATATATGCCTATAACGAACTACGGTTATTACGAACTAAAATAAGTGGTCTCTTTGAGTTCGTTATAACCGTAGTTTACTGTACTTGTATCAATTTGTTGTTACAATCACCATCATTATTAATTATCATCATTATTATTATTATTATTAAATTATGTATTATTATTAATTTTTCTCCTTCCTTCATGTTGTTGATATTATTATTATCCCCCGGCATATAATGCGGGGGGATATAGCGATCAGCCAGTCTGTCTGTCCGTCCGTCTGTCTGTCCGTAATCATTTCCTTTTGCGGGGCAGAATTCGAAAACCGTTCAGTATATTTGATCGAAACGTGAAAGATGTATCAGTCACATGCGGGAATGTGCCTCTTGCTATTTTGTAATTTAAAAAAAAAATATTTTTGCTATTTAGGAATGTTTCAAAATTTCATTTTTCCGTGTATCCATGGACACAAGTTAGACTTTGCTGAAATGGAGGTAGGTGTCGTTTCTGGAGCAGCACTAAAAAACTGTTCAACAGTGTTGAATCAAAGTTGGCTCATGTATTTTTCAGGGGTTGAAGTGGTGCCTTTTGCTATTTAGGAATTTAGATATTTTTTCCTGTTTCCATGGCAAGAAGTTTGACTTTGACTACATCTTGAAAACTAATAGGTATTCTTCCTTGAAACTATGCACACATATGGCCAGTTTGTCATCTGGTGCCTTTTGCTACTTAGGGATTGTTAGAATTTATATTTTTTCCGTTTCCTTGGCAACAAGTTTGACTTTGACTGTTCATGTTTTTGTGTACCTGACACAGAAGTACAAAGTTCCGAGTCCCAATTCCATGGTGTTGTTTTGATAGCTCAATAACTACTCTTGTACACTGACAGACAGATTGGATAGAAATTCTTCATCAAGTGGACTTAACAGGCAGATAATATGCTCTTTCGAATTTGGGGGGGGGGGGGGGGGGGGGGGGGATTTGTCAACTTCCGCTGACTCTTGTTATCATCTCATCATCATCATCATCATCATCATCATCATCATCATCATATTCAGTATCATCACATATTTGTTGTGTATGTATTTAACGTATGTTTTACTGCATGCAGTATGCAGTTGTGCTGTACATCTGTACCAACATTATAACAGCTATACACAAGTACTAGCGTACTTACAAACTGCTCTGTGTAATCACCGTCGCAGAAGGCCGGCCTAATACGGCTGGTGATAACAGCACCACACTTTACATATTCGACCTGACTGTGTAATGGACCTACCGTCGGTAACAATGTATTGAGATGCGTCTGCCAGAATGGCCGACTCTGCCTTGACACATGGGAGAATGACGTCGACTTAAAAACATCAATACCAAAGGGTATTTGTAACTCCTTCAGAAAAATGGGAGAAACATCAGGTCGTGAGCTGTCTGCATCAGGTTACATCAGGTTACATCAGGTTATATCTGGTTACGTCTGGTTACATCTGGTTACATCAGGTTCGAGGAAAAAACGTATTCAGCTGCAGCTGTATCATTCCTCGTGCACTTTGCACTTTGGGATTACTTTTTCACGACAAACGTCAGTCATTGCCGTAATCAACGTCAGTCATTGCCGTAATCAACGTCAGTCATTGATGATATCAACGTCAATCATTGACGATATCAACGTCAGTCATTGGCATAATCAACGTCAGTCATTGATGATCTCAACGTCAATCATTGACGATATCAACGTCAGTCATTGACGATATCAACGTCAGTCATTGACGTTATCAACGTCATCTAATTGCCAATAGTCCGTTGTGCCTTGTCCTTTTTCGCATACAGTGAAACTCCGTTTATCCGAACGGTACCATGTTGTTTTACGCCGCACTCAGCAATATTCCAGCTATGTGATGGCGGTCTGTAAATAATCGAGTCTGGACCAGACAATCCAGTAATTGACACCATGAGCATCGATCTACGCAATTGGGATACGATGACATGCATCAACTAAGTCAGCGAGCCTGACCACCTGATTCCGTTAGTCGCCTCTTACGATACCTATGGGTTGCTGATGAACAATTCTAACCCGGATGGGGATCATGGCCTGCGAAGTTCTTGTCACTTCAATCATGTACCTAACAGTAATCGCCCGGGACGTGAGGTGTCCGGACTAACGAGGTTTCACTGTATTTAAAAACAAACAAACTTTTAAAGACGAAACGAATATTTGATTTATTCTTCGTGAGATGAAGCAACAGTCATTGTCATACTATTGTTCATGAACAGCGTGACCTCATTTATCCGGAATAGTGGAATATAAGAACATTGTGTCACAGATTGTCCGGACAAAAAAGGTTTTACTTTGAAATACGCTACCTAGCAATTCCGCATTTCTTGTGTTTCAGGTAATCCCCCTGCTTGTAAGATTCTAGTTGAGGCTGGTGCCGACCCAAATGTCGTCGACAACGATGGATTAACAGGTAAGATTGTAGCTTCCTCGAGCTGTTTCCTGATTCGTTTGTCTAAATGGGAATCAGATGGCCACAATGGCTACGGGGGATGAAGGTGATCATTTAGAAAGACAACTCAGCTGTGTCATCAAATGAGACATTTTATGGGGATGACTGCCTCGGCGACCAGTGCGTATCACTGTTAAACGTGGGCCACACCAAACAAGGTTAGCGTTATTGTTTAGTGAGTAAGGTTTTACGCCGCTTTTAGCATTATTCCAGCAATATCACGGCGGAGGACACCGGAAATGGGCTTCACACATTTTACCCATGTAGGGAATCGAACCCGGGTCTTCGGCGTGACGAGCGAACGCTTTAACCACTAGTCTATGACCGTGATCGTGGGTGCGAATTTCAATTCGATCTGATTATATTGCTAGGTTTGTGAACACTATTCCCGTTCTCGTGGATTTTCCCAAAGTTTGATTGTTTGTTGTTTAACGCACTTAGCCATATGAGGGCGAGTCTGGATCACACAATCCAGTGATTGATATCATGAGCATCGATCTACGCAATTGGGATACGATGACATGCATCGACCAACTTAGCGAGCCTGACCACACGGTGCCGTTAGTCGCCTCTGACGACAAGCTTAGTCGCCTTTTACGGCAAGCATGGCTTGCTGAAGACCTATTCTGACCCGGATCTTCACGGGTCGTTTTCCAAAAGAGGTAAACATCTAAGACCTCAACACATCAGACTTCCCTCCCATATGAAGCCGACATGCAGTGACATAACGAAAATCATGTTCAAAGCGGCGTTAAACCAAACTCACTCACTCACTGGACATTGCTCCGGAATAATCCACTCCGCCCCCTGTTCGGCTTGTTGGAGGAATCAAGCATCTTAGTTAAGGAGGCCAGCGGGGACGCATCCAGTCTTCCAAGAGGCCCACGATTGATCACCGATGTCAGAGCAAACACTATGTCATGATCAAGAGGGAAGCCCTTAACATGAAGACGTGGCAGGACTCGCGGGGTTAATCCATGGAACAGCCCGTAGTGATGCCATGCCAATGATTGATCAGTCACGGGGCATGTGCCTTGCCATACCGGGCCGAGGGGACATCAATTATGTACGTTTGATTAAAGCAATAATTAGAAATGAAGACATCAAGTATTGTGCCTCCAGAACAATCTCCACAACGTGGCCAGTGTCACGGCCTGATGGGTTTTTTTACGTTTTGACGTTGGCTTTATTGATGTTTATAACAATAATAGAAATAGCCCGCTCTGACTGACGTCTTTAGCCCTTGCTTAATCAGCTCCATTTATCGTAGGATCGTTGAAAGGTTTTACGTGTATGTTTAGACGAAATATCAATATTACTAAATGCGCACAGGCCTTAGTAAGATTCACGGGAAGTTTAAAAGATGTCATTCTGCTTTGGAGAGATTCGATCCTAAGAAGAGGTGGTAGGGTAGCCTAGTGGTTAAAACGTTCGCTCGTCACGCCGAAGGCCCGGGTTCGATTCCCCACATGGACACAATGTGTGAACCCATTTCTAGTGTCGCCCGCCGTGATATTGCTGGAATATTGCTAAAAGCGGCGTAAAACCATACAGTTTCATTCACTCATAAGATTGGAGTCGTGTGAGTGAGTGGGTATTGTTTTCAGCCGCATCATGTGGTGCAGGTACTGGCGGCTCGTTGAGAGTGGGCTTGACATTGGTTCATATCATGGACAACGAGCTGCACCGCCAGGGTCCGATAATACACACTCATGTCACACACATACCCCGGGTATATGTGCAAAGTGATAAAACGCACATCGCATAATAAGGCACTTAGGCCTATTTTCACCACGGGAAGAAAACATGAGACAATTAGACCTGTTCTCGCCACGGGAAGAGAAGCATGAGGTAATTAGGCCTGTTCTCGCCACGGAAAGAGAAGCATGAAGCACTTAGACCTGTTCTCGCCACGGGTTGACAAGCATGAGGCACTGAGCCCTATTCCTCACGTTGGGAGACACGTCAAAAGAAGTCAATGACCAAGTCTCAGTAGAATCGATGTATACGACTCAAAAGAAAGTTCTTTCATACAGCTATAGGTAATCTGTCAGGGTATGACAGGTTAACTATAGTAATATAAAAGAATCGGCTGTTCTCTAACTTCTTTCGAGTAATAAGTGAGTAAGTAGGGTTTTACGCCGCTTTTAGCAATATTCCAGCAATATCACGGCGGGGGACACCAGAAATGGGCTTCACACATTTTACCCATGTCGGGAATCGAACCCGGGTCTTCAGCGTGACGAGCGAACGCTTTAACCACTAGGCTACCCGACCGCCCCCTTTCGAGTAATAGCTCAGGTGTAACGCACCTTGTATTGACCGTGTAATGTTGCGATGTATGGGTTCTTTGAAGAGACATAATCCATAACTCTTCCCAGTATGAATCGTTAACGTTCATGAGAAAATGGCAAATAAACGCATAATCCAATATTATTCACGGACTATCAGCGGAATATGAACTATTCCTATTGAAACACTCAGAAAGGCAGAATGTGTCATTTGAACAAGGATTGACGTAAATGCATACATGCATATATAGCATAACTTGCGATAGTTCCTCCTGCCACCTTCTCAGATCTCACCAGCGGTCAGTTTTTGTTGCTTAGTCTCATGCCTGGCTCACAAAGGCTGAAATTAGGAAAACCTTTTCATTTTTTTGTCTATCTGGGTTTTATCAGACACCGCCTTGTAAATTCGGTTTTGTTAAAGATTAGTGTATCTATTATTTCACTAGTCTTCGGAGCTAGACCCAGTGAACAAGACAACTGTTTGCTATATTTACATACAATAATTGGATTTTTACTTGTCCTCAGCACAATTTGATAGTCTTGGGCTAGCGGACTAGCGTGAATTTGGAAAGCGGTTTTTAGGCACAGGAGATAAGGGAAACGTTCAAATATACTAGTAGTTACTTGTCATGTTAAATACAAACCATGAAGATCCGGGGTAGAATAGGTCTTCAGTAACCCATGCTTGCCGTAAAAGGTGACTATGCTTGTGGTAAGAGGCGATAACGGGATCGGGTGGTCAGGCTCGCTGACTTGGTAGATGCAGGTCATCGTATCCCAGTTGCATGGATTGATGCTCATGATATCAATCACTTGATTGTCTGGTCCAGACTCGATTATGTATAGACCGCCGTCATATAGCGGAGTTCGGCGGTATACAACAAAGCAGACAAACATATCTAACTTTGACCCTATTTAATTATGGGGAAAATAATGAACGCAATCTAATAAAGAGTCTTAGTTGAATTTTGGCTACAGAGCACGAGCAAGAAACAAATGAAGAAACACCAAGAAACAAATTAAGAAAACCCCGGACGTTATCAGCCGTTCAGGGCCCCGTTGTACAAAGCTATCTTAGTGCTAAGGTGATCATAACTACCATAAAATAACATAGGCTTACGACAGTCGTAGCGCTAAGATCGCTTTGTGCAACGGGGCCCAGGTCGTATGTCCAACTGGGAATTTGTTTATCCCTGTTTTTCCCCGATGCATTTTCCCCGTTTTTAGAACAGAGGCTTTCTCGGACTTCATAAAAGTAGTATTAGGTTCAGTATATGGTGAGTGAGTGAGTGAGTGAGTGAGTGAGTGAGTTGTGTTTAACGCCGCTTTTAACAGTATCACAGTATATGACGGCGTGTCAGCTTAATGTGGGAGGAAAACCCGAAGTGATGCAGGTCTTAGACGTTTACCACATCGGCGAAACCAACGAGCACGGGTTTGGTGCTGACAAACCTAGAAACATAATCGGGGCGAACCGGGATACGAACCCACAATCATAGGTTTCTGGCGCGCGCAAGGGACGCCACTCTGCACAGCTAATCGCGGCGCCTTGGACGACTGGGCCACCCGTGCCCCCCTATATGAGATTTAATCAAAACCTTCTTGCTTGTACCTGTAGGAATATTCTGCAACATCCTTCCAAGCAGCTTGCCTGGGTGGATGAAACTCATTTGTTCAAAGATCTGAGCTAAAAAAACATCGAACGTCAGAGCAGCGAGGCTCTCAAATGCGGAAAAAAACAGATCTGTTCAGAATAAGAACAAAACCACCAATACAGATGAATGCAGAACGTGATTGCATATTTAGGTGCTATTTCCTTTCAATCTCCTCAGCTCTCCACTGTGCAGCAAGTCGCGGTCACACGTCCTGTATGGAAACGCTGTTGTCGGATTGCAAAGCCAAGGTGGACCCCGAGGACAGAAACAACTGCACGCCGCTATTCTACGCCATCACCCTCGGCAACATCGACTGCATGAAGATGTTGGTGCAGCATCGCGCCGACACGGCACACGTGGACAACAAAGGCAGATCGTAAGTAGCACAGATAGCCCGTGCAGATCGGAAGTAGCACGTGCATATCATGTTTACAAGCCATTCTGGGGCCACTGCGCCTCAGGAAAGTCTAAAATGCCTTGTTTAGCTTCATGCGTTAAAAGGTGTTTAAATTGATTTTTCCTGTTCTGCCGTTAAGCTAATTCAGTCTGACAGTTTTCATTTGCGGTTGAAGTTGTCACTATCTGATTTCAGAGAATGAATAGAGTTGATAGGATTTCAGTTCCGGTGTATAATGAGTTGGAAGTAAAAACTCAATCAGCCTTGTTGTAGAAAGATCTGAAACGCAATTTGCTTTTCTTAACGCTCGTGTGATGAGATTTGAGAACGAAATTCAGAATGGGCACTCTGTTTAAATTCAGTGTTTTGTTAGCTGCACATTTTGTTGTGGGCATTGCCGTGAGAGGTAGTACGATGATTTTAGGAGTGACTCTATCACTTATTATCTCGCCAAATATTTGTCGAAAATGACATTAACCTTAACTGTTGCTTATATGAAATGTAGTTATGATTGATATCTAAGAAAGACAACTCTCCACTTAGACCGGATTAAAGGACAATGTAGAATCTTTGCTTTCTGCCTTGACTAAATACGAATCATATAGCTGATTGCACTTTCTATTACATTTATACGGATGTAGTGTTGCTGACTACAGCCCGCCTGGCTGTAGATGTAGTGTTGCTGACTACAGCCCGCCTAGCTGTAGATGTAGTGTTGCTGACTACAGACCGCCTGGCTGTAGATGTAATGTTGCTGACTACAGCCCGCCTGTCTGTAGATGTAGTGTTGCTGACTACAGCCCGCCTGTCTGTAGATGTAGTGTTGCTGACTACAGCCCGCCTGTCTGTAGATGTAGTGTTGCTGACTACAGCCCGCCTGGCTGTAGATGTAGTGTTGCTGACTACAGCCCGCCTGTCTGTAGATGTAGTGTTGCTGACTACAGCCCGCCTGGCTGTAGATGTAGTGTTGCTGACTACAGCCCGCCTGGCTGTAGATGTAATGTTGCTGACTACAGCCCGCCTGGCTGTAGATGTAGTGTTGCTGACTACAGCCCGCCTGTCTGTAGATGTAGTGTTGCTGACTACAGACCGCCTGTCTGTAGATGTAATGTTGCTGACTACAGCCCGCCTGTCTGTAGATGTAGTGTTGCTGACTACAGCCCGCCTGTCTGTAGATGTAGTGTTGCTGACTACAGCCCGCCTGTCTGTAGATGTAGTGTTGCTGACTACAGCCCGCCTGGCTGTAGATGTAGTGTTGCTGACTACAGCCCGCCTGTCTGTAGATGTAGTGTTGCTGACTACAGCCCGCCTGGCTGTAGATGTAGTGTTGCTGACTACAGCCCGCCTGGCTGTAGATGTAATGTTGCTGACTACAGCCCGCCTGGCTGTAGATGTAGTGTTGCTGACTACAGCCCGCCTGTCTGTAGATGTAGTGTTGCTGACTACAGCCCGCCTGTCTGTAGATGTAATGTTGCTGACTACAGCCCGCCTGGCTGTAGATGTAATGTTGCTGACTACAGCCCGCCTGGCTGTAGATGTAATGTTGCTGACTACAGCCCGCCTGGCTGTAGATGTAGTGTTGCTGACTACAGCCCGCCTTGCTACAGAAGCCAGATGACCATGCGGACCTTTAAGCTTTATCATTTAATTGGTTGGTTGTTTTGTTGTTTAACGCCGCACTCAGCAATATTCCAGCTATATGACGGCGGTCTGTAAATAATCGAGTCTGGACCAGACAAACCAGTGATTGATATCATGAGCATCGATCCACGAAATTGGGATCGATGACATGCATCAACCAAAGCAGCGAGCCTGACTACCCGATCCCGTTAGTCGCCTTTTACGACAAGCGTAGTCGCCTTTTACGGCAAGCATAGGTTGCTGAAGACCTATTCTATCCCGGATCTTCACGGGCCTTTATCCTTTAAAGAATGTGAAATACCTTATACCTTATTAAGTAATATGTAAATAATCAATCAAACAGATAAATTTTGATACTGTTAAATATAAAGCAGCAACAACAAAATTAACACACCCCATCCTCACTCTCCCTCCAGAGTATTACGTCCCCTGGGCACGCCAGAAACCTATGATTGTGGGTTCGAATCCCGGTTCGCCCCGATTATGTTTCTAGGTTTGTCAGCACATTACCCGTGCTCGTGGGTTTCACTGAAGTGGTCTGCGACCTGCATCACTTGGGGCTTTCCTCCCACATTAAGCTGACACGCCGCGATATATCTGTATTACTGTTAAAAGCGGCGTTAAATCAAACTTGCTCACTCACTTGAAATCAATCACTGGATTGTCTGGGCCAGACTCGATTATTTACAGACCGCCGTCATATAACTGGAATATTACTGAGTGCGGCGTTAAACAACAAACCAACCAGCCAACCAACACTCACTCACTCACTCACTCACTCCAGAGTATTAAATGGCCGGTCCCTATTAGTTTAACACTGCAGCCTCAAGTTAACGGAACTACTTCATGAAGCTTTATAGCTTATAAAGTGTTGTTTGAATGACTTAGACAAAAGTCACAATGGCACACATACCGCCTGGCTGTTACTTCATAGCTTGTTTAAATATTTAAATATCGAACCCACTGCAGAGTCCCGGTGGCGTTATGCAACGACTCCACTGAAAGTCACCGCGTAACCGAGAGATTGCGACCTGGAAACAGAGGCGACCATACATTGGATTCCATTCCCGTTTCTGTTTCGTCCGCCTTTCATGGTCGCCATAGTGGCACAGAACGACACGCATACCCACGGGGAGACGAAAAGACCCTTTGAAACCCTTTTGTCACAAATCTCGCGGGTGACGCCGCTCCGACCTTGCCAGCTTGTATCTCTTCAGGTTACCGTTATTTATTGCACAGAAACGCGGCTAGGATTTCATTGGGAACACCGCTGCAACGAGACCCCCTTTATTCGCCTCTCGGGCACAACCGAAGCGATATTTATCACACATCTAGGCTCGTTCTCACTCCCTCGACTCGGTGAGTCGACCCGATCAGCTACCCAAATCGAGTCGTGTTAGCCAGATCTCTTGGCATGACGTTGTGAACATACAATCGTTCCTGGTGTGGTGGAGAGCTTATCTACAGGCTGCCCTTATCTCAGCGTAGCCTCGTTTGACGGCAAGCATTGTCACTAGTGTGTGGTGTATTGGAGATTTCAGACAAGTTGTGTTTAATGTTTTCTAACTGACTCTATGATTCCTTGGTTCCAGTCCAGCCCATTGTGCCGCCCTTAAAGGCTCTCAAGAAGCTCTTCGGGTCCTTCTGAAGAATAAAGCTGATCTGTGGTCACCAAGTCAACAGGGGAACTACCCTATACACGAGGCTACGCACGGGGGACATGCTGGTAAGTGGTTTGGTTTTTGTTGTTTTAGGCCGCACTCAGCAATATTCCAGCTATATGACGGCGGTCTGTAAATAATCGAGTCTGGATCAGACAATCCCGTGAAGGACGCCATAAGCATCGATCTACGCAGTTGGGATCGATGACATGCATCAACCAAGTCAGTTAGCCTGACAACCCAACCCCGTTAGTCGCCTCCTACGACAAGCATATTCGCCTTTTACGGCAAGCATGGGTTGCTGAAGACCTATTCTACCCCGGATCTTCACGGGTCGCTGGTTGGTGCATCTGTCGAGTTTGTATTTGCCTTTTGATACACGTGTCTGATCGATGTGTAGAGCTTGTAGCAGAATCTGATATGAAACCGAAAACTGTAGGTACATTGATATTTAATGGATAATTGATATTGGGAAGTGTTCATTTACTTAGAATTGTTGAAAGATTTAGCGAGAGAGTGAGTCTAGTTAACGCTAAAACATAATTTCAGGAATATCACGGCGTGTATGTTTGGTGCAGAAGTGATCCCTACCAAATAATCAAGCGGTATCCATTTAAAATGTGGCGGGTTTTAACCATAACGGGCACACTTTATGAGGATTGTGTCTTGTTTGTAATTTGTGTGTCTATTTTTACGTAAAGTGTGTACATATTTCATAGTTTGGTTGGATGCTCTCTGGTTAATTCTTTTGGTAGGCATGGTGATACCATTTTGGTGAAACCCACGAGCACTGGTATAGTGCCGACAAAGCTAGAAACGTTATCAGGGCGAGTCCGGTATTTGAAACCACGATCATAGGATTCTGGCATACCTAAGAGACACAACTCTGCGCAGCGAATCGCAATCTCATTAAAATCATATCTTAGTTTTCGCTACCGCTAAACAAAGATCTGAGGACATCCCATTACGGGTCACGTCAGAACGACCTTTCGCGAATTTTGACCGACCAATGAAATGACTGACAAGAAATCGACATTAGCCAATCAGAAGGCAGCTTTCTCGAGCTGGCGACTACGCTTCGAAACATATTTTAACGTATTCTCGATTAAAAAAAATAAAACTAATACAAAGAACATTCTGGAATGGCTTATAGCATGTAATATTCGTGGTGTGGGTAGGGAAGCAGGGTTGCAGAACATTAAATATTTTGGAGGTGTGTGTGTGTGTAGGGCTGAGACGGGTAACTCGGGTACTCGGGTCTACTGGGTACTGAGTAGGATCCGGGTACCTACAGGACTACCCGGGCCCGTGTTTAGACACGTGATATATTGTTTAATGACAAAAAGTATCTAAAACTCTATGTTTAAAGTACAAGTCACTAATGTTCGCAGTTCTTCCTGACCACTACGCCCATTCCTTCTGACTTTTATATGTTTGAATAAAAATAAAACTTCAGCTAACTTCAGTGTATACACCAGATCGTTTCATACATGTATCTCAACACATTGTACCAGACCTACGGTCATACTTTTTCCAATCGGACAGTTTGTACCTACCTCTTGAGACCTCCAGCGGGTACCCGGGTAGGGTCGGGTAATAGAGGGGTGGGAACCCGGGTAGCACATTTGGACTCTCCCGAGCCCTAGTTGATACGTATAATTAAAATGTTCTTTAAATTGTTTTTGAAATGATTGTTGAGGACGTTTAACTGGAAGCTTAATACGTCAATCAAACACCTGAGAATCGATATAAGCTCGCTCCAACCCTCAACTACCTCAATCGATATCTCTGATCAAATATTTTCAAATCGCTTCAAGTTTGTGTAGTTAGACTTTTAAATATCCCTGACCCCTCGCCTCACCCTTTATTACCCCCCCCCCCCCCCCCCCCCCCCCCCCCCCCCCCCCCGCTCACTTGAACGCCCCCCAATTCTCGTTTGTTCGTGTTGCCATATAACCCAAATTTATCCCTGCATTATATTTGCTCTTTACTGTACGTTGACACGGAGTGTATCCCAACACCAATAAGCCCCCATATAACAGTAAACCTGTCGATGGGGAGGGGGTGGTATATATCGTTAAACAATTCTATAGTATCAGAGCGCCCATCGGTCGTCACGAAACATTGCAGTAGGTCGGAGTGTGTAAAGCGATCCTGGGTGCACTGCCGGTCACGTTATGTGAGTTAACTATCTCATCTAACACCGTATGTTTTACATCGAGACAACGCACTACCAAGTTTTTTCTCTCTGAATACACAACAAAGTTATTGTTAGCGTGGAAATTCAGTGCGTATATAAAGCTTTTAACATGTGTCGTGCGTTATCATGACGCGAATCTGTAAGTTCAACAGACCCGTTAAGGGTTTCTTCTTGTAAGCGCAATCACCGAGCTGAGTGTTCACATAACAAGAACATGTAGGAAAATAATGCTTAAATCAATATTAATATTCCTAATAGAGTGTGCACATTTGCATGCACTTGAGAAAGTAAACATAAATATTGTTTTGTGCACGCAAAGAGCAAATATTTAAACGAAACACGATACACACGTTAAAGGGAAAAAACGGAGTTGATTGATCTCAGTGATTCGTGAGTGTTGTAACGATGTTGACTGCGACATGCAAGTTGTTTACGATCTTAGGGACCGATCATTTGATAACCAAGGGTGGCCATGAAAACGTAATTTGGATTTATTCCAAAAAGATAATTATCCACTGACTGTCTAAAGCAAGGGTTATTGGCCCCAACAGTCCTTGAATCTTCCGTTTTTATAGAAATAAGTTTGTACAGCGACTGTACAAATAATCGTTTTCTGACAACAACAAAAATCCAGAAATTTACATCATCGGTCCATTAACCCGTGTAAGTACACTTCGATGTTTTCAGTCATATCGAAATTGGATAGGCGACATGTGAAGAAGAATTTTTAACTAAACTTATATTATTCTAAATATCTTTGAATTAAAGTAGTTCCGTTACATATTCAAAACTGACATTGTGAAATAGACGCCTTTGATCGTCCATATCTCTAAAGATATTTGTTTTAAGTGTACGGCTATGGCGAGAGTCACGACCTGATACTAGAAAGAGCCGGTATTGCCTACCAATGACCCCTTGGTTCAAGGTACAGTAAACTACGGTTATAACGAACTCAAAAGGATCACTAATTTTAGTTCGTAATAACCGTAGTTCGTTATAAGCATATGTACAACAAATGACCGGGACTGAAATACAAGTTCGTTATATCGGTCAGTTCGTTATAAGCGTGTTCGTTTTAAACGTAGTTTACTGTATACTAGTTTTTTGTGGATGACTGCCAAAAAGGAATGTATCCAACAAATTTGAGTAGGTGCGTGACATCAGTTATACGGATGAAAGTGTGTTTCAATTAATTGGCTTTTAATACGTTCAGCAATACAATGGGTGGTGGACCCAAAGAATGCGTGTCACACGGTACAATCTTGGGAGTCGAACTGAGATTTACGTTATGTGATTAAGCACTACACATCTCTAGTTCACATTATAGCAATTACTACACTGAGGGCAGCTTAACGTGGTTGTATATGTGTCTGGAGACTTATGATGTTTACAGATGTAGTAGTATGGCATGCACACGTGTATACAGTGTGGAGGTTGAGTGTATGGGTTTTCGCGCTGCAAAATCCCCATGTTGGCAATCGAACCGCACACACCGTGTCTAGCGAACGCTTTAACCACTACGCTAATCCACGAGCCTATCGTGGAAGCTTTATAGTGAGTGTTGTTTTACGCCGCTTTTAACACTTTCAATATCACGGCGGCACACCAGAATGGGCTTCGCACATTGTACCCATCTTGGGAATCGAACCGCAGTGTTCACTGGCGTGTCGAGCGAACGCTTTAACCACAACGCTACTCAACAGGCCTATCATGGAAGCTTTATAGTGAGTATTGGTTTGGCAGGGGACACCAGTATGGGCTTCACAATTTGTGCCCATGTCGGGAATCGAACCCGGGTCTTCGGCATGACGAGCGAACGCTTTAACCACTAAGCTATCCAACCCTCCTGCATGATTAGAAAACACATTCCGACTGTCTCTTTCATGATCTGGTAAGCCACTCTCTGTCTGGTCTGATGAAAGGTCGTTCTGACGTGACTCGACACGTGATGTTTTCAGATCTTTGTTGAGCGGCAGCGAGAACTAAGATCTGAATTTAATGAGATAGTTTCATTTCTGCATCTTAAAAATACGTTAAGTAACAGTTTAACCAATCAGGGCACCTAAACCTCAGAGGTGCAAACACATTGCTGCAACAAATTCTTATTGTGGTGACACCTGGTGTTCGCGAAACTACGACTTTAGCGGAACGGTAAATTGGTGGTAAACTGGAAGCTTTATCAGGAAGACTTATCGAGATGCATAATTGTCCAGTTACAGGAATTTAAAGGAATCTTATCAAATATTATACGTTTTTATTGCCGAAGTCGTATTACAGGAAACTACGTTTATAACGAACATGCTTATAACGAACTGACGGATATAACGAACATATTTTAGGTCCCGGACATTTGCTGTATGTATGCTTAAAACATGCTTATAACGAACTACGGTTATAACGAACTAAAATTAGTGGTCCCTTTGAGTTCGTTATAACCGTTCGTTTATTGTAGTTGTTCTAAGTACATAAGCTGCTACAGAATATTCTTTTCCCAGCATATATTAACATACATATGCCATACATGTAAAAGATAGCATTTCTACGACTGTCCATATAATTCACAAGTTACGTACAAAAGTACCGCTTTCTTATTATAACTCGAGCTAGTATGCGACCCCATGGTATCTGAAAGGAATGTCCCTAATATCGATAATGCTCTACCATGATCACTGGCAATATAAGGAATTCATACAAGGGTGGTGAATACCGTACTATCCGTCCTCACTAAGCCGGGGATCGCAGATAGCTAGGTTAAATTGAATAGATGTCAGTATTCTATGAGTGTAAACAATTTCCATTTGATGTGTGACAGTCTTCGTACTTTTGTTCCTCGGTGTTGGTCGACAGTGCCCTGGGTTATTTGTGGACCATCATGGACTAAAGGCTGCTATTTCTACTGGTGTGAATAGGGGTCGTCGCCGATGTATTTAATAAAGTCAGCGAAGCATGGAGAAGTAATGGTAAACGGGTGTGATGTGATTACAAGGTGTTCACGTGACCTCCCGGCACCTATGTCGAATCGTGTACGTCGAACATGGGTGGCTGTATGGCTGGTGCGATTTGATTGACGTTATATTTTTGTTTCGATGGTTTAGGCGTTTTTGAAACAGTAGAGAGTCTGTGAGTAGAGTTTTACACGTTTATAGCATTAGTCCAGCGATATTATGGCAAGGGACACAAAGAATGGGATTCACATGTGGGAAATGTGGGAATCGAAACCGGGTCCCTTGCGTGATGATTTATGCCATTTGTGCTCTCCCGTTGCTATTGAAGAAAATTCTCTGTGAGTTTATAATTATTGAGAATATATCTGTTGAATCGTTGCACTAGTTACCAGTACGCGGCATGTTAGGACATCCACTTCAGCTGAAATCGGAGAGGTGGGGTGAGGTGAAATGGGGTTTAACGTCGCGTCCAAGACTACTGCACTTATATAGCGACGTGTATGTACGTGTGTGTGTGTGTGTGTGTGTGTGTGGCTGCTTGTACTAGTCTAGACTGATGCCGATTTATAGTGCTAGCTCACTGAGATACCATGCCGCAGTTTAACATGAATACCCCACTCAGACACAGTATACTGACTCCGAGCAGACCAGTCCTTGTTTTAGCCTCTTAATGTCGAGCGCCAGACAGCGTAACAACAAGTACCATCAGTGTTATCGACAAGCAGCCACACAAACACATACACGTACATGCACGTCGCTATATAAGTGCAATAATCTTGGCCGCGACGTTAAACACCATATTCACCTCACCTCACCTCACCTATTTGATACACCCTTTCGTGTGTGTAAGCCAAGATGAAACAATTATAAATAACTAATGACGCGATGTCACTTGTGCTGTCGGTAGGTGTCGCTATCAGATCCATCGATCAGAGGTCAAGATTTCACCTTTATTCATCGGTCAAATCGTTATTTGATTCAGTTTCATCAATACTTCTTGATACACTTGTGTATCATAACTTATAGATGCTAGACGTAATTCTAATAGACATAGGACAGCCTCAGGCGTTGAAGCACTGAATGTCTCTCAGTGTTAGCTCAAAGTTCCTACTTCTGTCCGTTTTTTCATCCATTTGTTAACATGGAGATTCTCTGAAACGGCTGAACGAAAACTAAACGTTTAGGAAGTTGTCAAGCAAATATTGCATATATTTTGAATTATTATTTTTTATCTTTAAGAAAATGTCAAAGCATCTGGTGGTCGAGCTTAGTAGGTTTGTTTGGGTGTGGTTCATACTGGGTTCATATGGGTTTTGCTCATACTATAAACAACTGGTTTACATTGTACAGACTCCAACATTTACAGACCGCCGTTATAGACCTGGATTTGTGTCGAATGTGGCGTTAAGTAACATTCACTTAAAAATGGCAAATGTTGAAATATGTTTAATCTGGGGTAGAATAGGTCTTCAGCAAACCCATGCTTGCCGTAAAAGGTGACTATGCTTGCCGTAAAAGGCGACTAACGGGATCGGGTGGTCAGGCTCGCTGACTTGGTTGATGCATGTCATCGATCCCAATTGCGTGGATCGATGCTCATGGTATCAATCACTGGATTGTCTGGTCCAGACTCGATTATTTACAGACCGCCGTCATATAGCTGGAATATTGCTGAGTGCGGCGTTAAACAACAAACCAACCAACCAAACCAATCTACGTTTGTCAACACCATACCTGTGCTCGTGGGTTTCACCAAAGTTGCAAAACGTCTATGAACTGCTTCACATCGCGTTTTTCTCCCCCATTAAGCTCTAATGCCGTACTCGGACTGAAATTCTGTTTAAAGTGGCTTTAAACCAAACTCAATCACTCTCGGTTCAAACACCCAAGTTTCTATTTAGTAACTATCCTACTCCAAGGCAACCAAACGATTCAATCGTCTTATGTTCATGATCATGACAATAATCAAACGTTTATGTGTTACAGAAATTGTGAGATTCTTCCTGGCCCAGAGTGGCAATGACGATGTTGTGGACCTAGCCAACGACGACGGTCGCACCTGTCTACACATAGCAGCGCTAACCAACAACCTTAATATTTGTAAACTACTCTTAGATGCTGACGCCAACGTCAACACCGTCATGATGAGCAAGGTACGTCACCGTCAACCACTTTCTCAACTCTTGTCACGTCACCAAGGTGACGTGAGGTGAAATGGGGTAAAACGTCACGTTCAAGATTGTTGCAGTTATACAGCGACGTGCATGCACGTGTGTGTGTGTGTATGTGTGTGGCTGCTTGTACTAGTCCAGACAAATGCCGATTTTATAATGCTAGCCCACTGAGACACCATGCCGCTGTTTAACATGGATATCCCACTTAGACACAGTATACTGACTCTGAGCCCACCAGTCCTTGTTTTAGCCCCTTAATGCAGAGCACAATGCGGGGTAACATCTTTAAACGTCTTTTGGTTTGACGCGACCGGGGATCGAACCCACGCTCTCCGGGCGGACGCGCTACCACTAGACCACAGAGACGGTCCGTCACCAAGGCTTGTAGTAGTTATCTTGATATCTAGATGGGAAATATTGTGCTGTATAGTTTAGTCCACAACTCAACTTAATATGAACCTGAACTATATCATTTACAAGACATTATTAAATAGTATTCGAATGACAACATCAGCAAACATTTCACGTTCAACACCTGGACTTACAAGAATATTGATCCCTGTAAGATATCAGAAATATACATTTGAAATTTGCCTCAACCTCCGAGTAGCTCCATATAGTCTGTCCAAGATTACGAAGTGTTTACATTAACCATGACGAAAGTGATCAATTGGCGAACACACCTGTTTCTATATCGATATGCACTTTACTATATTAGAGCATGTTTTTTATCCGCACGCAATGATATAATTATCGTTTTACTTCCTGGTGAGAATGGACTTCGGGTGAAATTGTATCCGAGATTGTTGGCGTTTTTGAAGTTCAAACCGTATGAAGAGTGTCGGGGAATTATTTATGGGTGTTGCGGGGTAATAAATGTAAAACGTTGACGCCAAAGAAATCAGTCTTGATCATCGATTGAAATAGATTTCTTTGGGCTTAAAAGGCAAAATATTTATGGAAATTATAGGAATGCTTGGTGTAACGTAGACTATCGTTCCAACATGGACACGGTAACATGTCGGAGGTTAAAACACATTTACAATGGACCTTTCGTAACTTTCTCCCCTTGACCAAACATACAGAATTCATCAATCTGTCAATTCTTATCTTGTCACTCAAAGGCCAATCAATAATTCAACGTAGAATTGTAGACAAAGGTTGTAAGAACAATAACCCCGAACGAAGTCGGATTAATGGTAGGTCGATGTTGGGATACTGGCAGTGAAAGAGCTAGCAAGATAAGACCAACACCCCGCGACCAGCCTGGTACACACACTCGATGGCAGGAGGCAGGGGCCAAACACGGCAAGAAAGGAGGGTGCTTGAGTGATTCGTTTAAGGTCATGCCTGGTCTATTTAAAAGACCATACTTTGTTTCTTTCCTTCGCAGTTACGACGTGTAAGTAATTCTTACATTTTTTGTCACCCAACGAATTATATTTTCGTGCGTGGGATCATTTATCGTTGATGCCCTACGTCCCTGTGACTGGCATTCGATTTCTGATAAACCTTAGTGATGAATATTGGTTTTATATTGATGTATACGTATTTATCTGATTGTTTTTTTCTGTAAGGTGATATCGACTCGTGTTTCTAAATCATTTGGAAGTTTATAATAGTCTTCCAATAGAGTACTACCGACACAGTTAGAAAGGATTGCATCTGGAAGGCTTCTTCAGAGGGCCTAAACGTGGACCCTTTGGCTATACTCATAGTTCAATCCTTACATGTACAACTCGAAAGGGTGCACGGGAATCACGCACGTTGAGACGCCCAACGCTAACACCGTATTCGTGCGTGCGTGATTCCCGTTCAACCTTTCGAGTTGAGTTGATTGGTTCAACTGTGTCATATGGCCCTGTGACGCAGGGGTAGCATTATGCAGATGGAAGTTTCAATGAATGCTCGTTCCACCCGTGACGAACAGGTCTGATTGTTGATGAAATATAGTGATAGCTAAATAGACAGATTTTTTTTTCATCCACCGATTGTCTTTAAATGTAATATCCAGTTATGTATGACTGTTTAATAATCTCATACCAACTTTGACTGGAGTAGGTACGATAGTTTTTCAGATATTGTAGTAAACGTCGGTACCTTAAATTAACTTCCGGACTTTTCTTTTTTTATAGGTTACTTTAGTTTCTTAAATTGTATTATATATGTAATTATATCAATTAAGGAATACCCTAGTTACCTTAAATAGTCCCAGTACACACAAGGCACTGTTACAACATTTCGACCAAGTATCGTCATATTTTAACAATCTCAAACACAGAACTTCAGATTATTTTGTATGACTAATTCACCTTTGAGAAAAACACATAACCTTTACTACTTTTAAAGAAAATATGATTGGTTACAATTTGGAAACCAATAGAAAAATATCGATTATAAACATGATGGTTGCTGCTATTTGCAAATACACATATGCTATCCCCAATGCCTATGTTCAAATGGGGCAGATTTGAATGTAGCTTACTAAAATCGCTAAACACTTAAACACTTTAACCTGTTACGAGACTGAAGTTGGGATTTGGAACAAACTGCTTCTCAAGTTGAAATAGGTTTCCTCATTAAAGCTACACTGAGTTGTACTTAAGCAATCTAGTATTCATTGATTTTTGTTCCATAAACCTGAATTTGATTTATGGAGTGTGTCTTAAGATTTAAACACACCCCTTAGTGAATGCAGTCTGAGTGTGCGTCTACCAAAATGCTTTGTTATTTCACGTCAAGTATGGGCCACATTTGATTACAAACTACCCGCTGTGACGAGTATAGGCCAACGGAACTATTCGCTGATTGAAGTGGGAGATTGTATCTATGTAGGTCGGCCATGTAGTGAGGGTGTTTGTCAAGCACATGTCAGGCAATTTGTCAAGCATTTCATTCCAATGCAAGCAATGCTGAGAATACTGCTCCTTCATAATTAAATTTCCCCTCAGTATGCCAGAATGCATTTGTTATGTAGTTAAATGTATTTTTAATCAAGGGTTATGCAAGCTTCATAACATCCACGAATGACCATTAATGGTTGCGGAAATTATACCCAAATTCATCACCGATATTGTTAATATATAAAGGATAAGATGAAGAAAAATAGTCCATTGTTATGTCAGATGATTTATTAGTAATACTGACAATAACAGTTATACGTTTTTTTAATATAAATTGAAATTTATGACACCAATGGATGAGTTAAATGGCTTTTTAATTGTATAGTGAGATCCATTTCAAAGCGATTACATTTATATAGTGTCCTAGTAAGAATACGTATTAAGTCCACGTTATTCAGCGTGCAGCTTCAAATGTATGTTACACTGAATACATCAAATAAAGCATTAAAAATAAGTCATTGGTGTCATGATATTTGATTCAGAATAGCATCGTTCGTGGTGATTATGAATTGTAATGAACATAATACAAAACAGTATAGTACTTTCCAGCAATAGACTATCCAACACGATTGATTGTTGTATTCGTTTTCCCGTGCCTTCTATGGCGTATTCATGTGCCTCCATTGTATCCCTTTATATCGAGTCGACCAGTGCTGTAGCATGTATTACTACATGTCATCGTCAGAGTCAGGTTCCAGATGGATAATGTCATGCCGCCATGCAATAACCATGGTTCATTGTTCATGATAGAAATACCAAGCAAATAACACTAACAGAACGGAGGAGAATACACGACCTTGTCGACTCCTCTCTTCCAAACGCAAGGGTTGTATTGTATGGTGGTACTCATAAACCATGTTGTCATTTCCAGGGAAAATACTACACTCCTACAGACGCCGCCCTTCTGAAGGGACATAGGGAGACGGGGGACTATCTCATCTCCAAAGGGGGCAAAAAGGGGAGCTTCATCACCAACGATGCTGCTATTATCATTCAAAGAAACCTTAAGCTCAAAAGCAGGCTAAGGCCGACCTCTTCAACAAGGAGAGTCAAGTCCCCCAAGAGAAGGGATTCTAATAGGTTAGAGGTGTTGTCCCCAGAGAAGGTTGAGCCGAGAGAGGAGACAGAGGAGATTCATATTGAGAGTGAAAATGTGAAAGAGGAAGATTCCAAACCCGCTCCTGTGTCAGCAACTGTGAATTTACAGGTTCAGCGGAAGCAAACCCCTGAAATTAAGGACGTGAAATCAACGGACTCAAAGAAAACAGAGACTAAACCTGCAGAGAAAAAGAGCCCCAGTAGAAATGATGCTTCTGTGAATACTGACAATAAATCGGCTTCCCCTAGGAAGGGGATTCTGAAATCAACCAAGGAGAACGGCAAAGAGAACGCAGAACCAATGGGGTCGAGTCCTACAAAACAGAAAAAGAAAGATGTGAAGGATGTTCCTGAGGTCACTGCCACCAATGGTACAGCAGATACGAATTCTCACAACAGTGTGGATTCTGGGGAGTTTTACCGGGCTAGCTCTCAAAGGGAGAGCAATACGTCCGAGCCAAGGTCTCGCTCCAGGATGTCAAAGAGCAGCAGGATACTGGCTCAGGAGGTACAGGCGAGTGTGAGGCGGTATGAGGAGGAGAGACGAGCGGTCAGGGAGTATCACCAATTAAGGAGGGCACAAATCTACACCGGCCCGCTCTACGACATCGCCCTCTTCAGCAGCAGCTTCCACCAGAACAACAGGGAAGATGCTTTCGGTACCCATGACAACGACCGACCGGCCAAGAGGCAAACTTTCTACACAATGTCGCAGTCCAGTGAACATGTCAACGGTAAGCCTTCACGTTAGTTTTGTTTGACATATCGTATATATGATTGCTTATCATACCTCCATGTCAGAATGATGAGATCTGATTGGTCCACGTGATCTTGATAAAAAAAACTGCGTAACCCGCCTTGGCGGGTAATAAGTTTCTCAGAGGGGGAATAAATCTCTTATATCCCGCCACGAGCAATACAGGCAACACGTGCATTTCTCAGAAGCAGAAGAAATCCCTTATAACCCGCTTCAAAGAATAAAGCCCCCCCCCCCCCGAGTCAGTGGAAGTCAAGTGACTCAGCACAAGTTAACCTCAGCTCAGCTGTTTTCGATCGATTTTGAATTTGCTCGGGGTACATAGGGTTTTATGCGTCCCGAGCCGGAGGCGAGTGTTATAAAACCGAACGGGGAAAGCATACAACCCCATGTACCCCGAGTAATCCCGCTATAATGTAATTGGATGGGTAGGATCATTTAATATAAGGGACGAACCATTTGTTAGTGAGAGGATATGTGTTCGGTCACTACTTGAAAACATACATTGTTATTTCTCTGAATGGAGTAGCCTAACAAACAATTGTATAATTTCTCACATTTGTATTTTCTGGAACAAATTATTTTTTTTTTAAAATAAACCTACACGCCCAACCAGGCAGTTGGGGGAACCACTACAAAAACAATTCTGGGCATCCAGCACCCAACATTTTGGTTTGCAAAACAATTCTACTTTAATTTATATATTACTTCCAAGTAAAGTTCAGGGCGGCGGGGTAGCCTTGTGGTTAAAGCGTTCGCTCGACACGCCGAAGAGGTGAGGTGAGGTGAGGTGAAATTGGGTTTAAAGTCGCGTCCAAGATTATTGCACTTATATAGCGACGTGCATGCACGTGTGTGTGTGTGTGTGTGTGGCTGCTTGTACTAGTCCGGACGGATGCCAATTTATAATGCTAGCGCACTGAGATACCATGCCGCAGTTTAACATGAATACCCCACTCAGACACTATATATTCTGATTCCGAGCCGACCAGTCCTTGTTTTAGCCCCTTAATGCCGAGCGCCAGACAGGGTAACAACAAGTACCATCTTTAAACGTCTTTAGGTATGACGCGGCCGGGGATCGAACCCCGGAACTCCGGGCGGACGCTCTACCTCTAGACCACGGAAGCGGTTGACACGCCAAAGACCCGGGTTCGATTCCCCACATGTGTACAATGTGTGAAGCCAATTTCTGGTGTCCCCCGCCGTGATATTGCTGTAATATTGCTAAAAACGGCGTAAAACCACACTCATTCACTCACTCACTCAAGTAAAGTTCGCAGACTAAACAAACAAGACGGATAATACTTAACGAAACCAGAGTCACATGTTTGAGTAAGGCTACAGTTGCCATTCAACTGATAACAACAAATACTGCTTGATCTGAACAAATTCGAATTTTAGCCATGGCTCTTGTTACAACAGGTAAAGTCCATAGTTCAAGTCGAATCGGTCAGTGTTGTTACGAGGCACAACAAGTAGCTAAGGCTGCCAATCTCGTGAAGATGTACAAAATAATGCATTATACTACATTCATCGTGAAGAAATATCCTATGTACACGAGAGTCAAGCCGTAATTTAGGGAACTTCTGCTCAATCGTGAAAGACGTCATATTTCGCCATATTTCGAATTGCGTGGCTTAGAGGCACCAGAAGGCCAGAAGCCATGGTCGTGGGTTGGAATCAAATGTCGCCCTGATCATGTTTCTTGGATTATCATCACTATACCAGCGTCGTGGGTTTTGACAAAGTGTTGAATTCCATGACCTGGGTTACTTCGGGCTTTCCTCCCACATCAAGCTGACCCGCCGTTATGTAACTAAAATAGAACAGTTGTAGATTTGGTGGGTTTAGGGCATAGTAGGGATAGGGTTGTTGTATACAGATGCGGGAGTAGGGTTTTATACATATTTGGTTTTATCCCCTTCATGCCGAGCGCGAGGCAGGGTAACAACAAGTACCATCTTTTCACGTCTTTAGGTATGACGCGACCCGTGACATCCGGGGAAGAATAGGTCTTCAGCAATCCCTGCATGCCGTAAAAGGTGACTATGCTTGTCGTAAGAGGCGACTAACGGGATCGGGTCGTCAGGCTCGCTGACTTGGTCCATGCATGTCATCGTATCCCCATTGCGTGGATCGATGCTCATGATGTCAATCACTGGATTGTCTCGTCCAGATTCGATTATTTACAGACCGCCGTCATATAGCTGGAATATTGCTGAGTGTGGCGTTAAACAACAAACAAACACCGCCCTTCCGCTTTGACGCAAGGGAAGGGGTGTGGGTTGGTCGGTCGTCCCAAAATGAAACGTTATATGATGGCGCTTACAACACAACTCACATCTGCACGATTCAACAGCATTCATGGTTGACGGTTATACTGACCCGCACGGTGCATGTGGTTGCGTGTAATATACGGGTAGGAAACACGACCCGTCAGTGCAAGGCGATAGGGCACATTAGCTTCAAAGCACACAGGGTCGTATTAATTAGTGGCATGTTTATGGGTAGCATGCAATATGGATACATGTGAATAGATAAAAAAGTTACTTTGTAATCTCGTATGGTTAAAAATGGTCTAATTGTGACATGAAAAAGTACGTTACATCAAGGCAGATTAGTTTGATTTGGCCGAGGCTCATGGCACCGCTACATTGTAGACTTCGCGTGTCATAACTATGGAATACTGTAAGGGACGTTCTCGCGACCTCAACCTCACGAAACGAGAATTTTGTTCAAATCTCGCATTTTCGCACTTTTTGCATTTATACGTCGAGATCGCGAGAATGTCCCTTTCGTCATTCTGTACATAACCGCTATCACCAGCTGATCATTGAGGATGAAGGCAGTAATGCTCTCACAATGTCACCAAGTTGAAACGAATCTTTAAGTTATTTGGGGTGCGGTCGGGTAGCCTAGTGGTTAAGGCGTTCGCCCGTCACGCCGCAGACCCGGGTTCGATTCCCGACATGGGTACATTGTGTGAAGCCAAATCTGGTGTCCCCCGCCGTGATCTTGCTGGAATATTGCTAAAAGCGGCGTAAAACCATACTCGCTCACTCACTTAAGTTATTTTGCCTTAACTACAGTGACAACGTATCACGATGTTTTCAAACTATCTTTCAAGTTTTATGTGCCAGTGGTATTCTCTGTGTGTTCGATCAGACTGGATGCTCTTAATATACAGATTGAAATGAAAAAGAGAACACTTAATTTTAGACACAGTTAAATGATAGACAATCATGGGTTTCCAGCCTTGTCTATCCAATACGCGTCGGAAACAATGCACACGAACATTCGATTCTGCCGTGTTGAATTTGTGCGCTATTTCAAATGTACTGACAGTGAAGCTTTTTCCCCTATTTTTTCATTGTTCCCTTATTCGTTTCCATCAGTTTATAACGATGTTATAACATGCAGCTGTATCTTGATATAACATATTGCAGGTGACATGGAGTTCTCGACTCGGACTGACGATCACACTCACGCGAGAAAGGTATTCACAATTTTTATTTTTCATGTTTACGTCAAACATTTCTTACCCGTGGAGATCCGAGTTAAAATTGATCATCAGCAACCCACGCTTGTCATATGAGGCAAGTAACGGGATTGGTTGGTCAGGCTCGCTGACTTGGTTAATACATTTCATTGTATACCATTTGTGTAGATCGACGCTCATGATGTCAATCACTGGTTTCCAGGCTCGATTATTTACAGATTGCAGTCATATAGCTGGAATATTGCTGAGTGCCCTTAAACAACAAACAAACATGTGTTATAATAAAATACTGTCAAAACGTTTATATTCTCTGTTGTATAGACTGTGTACGTCTTTACCTTGTTTACATCATCATCGGGGCGGTCGGGTAGCCTAGTGGTTAAAGCGTTCGCTCGTCACGCCGAAGACCCGGGTTCGATTCTCGACATGGGTACAATGTGTGAAGCCCATTTCTAATGTCCCCCGCCGTGATATTGCTGGAATATTGCTAAAAGCGGCGTAAAACCATACTCACTCACTCACTCACTCACTGTTTACATCATCAGTTAATGTGTCTGTCAGAAACTTGTAGCTATTAATATTAATAGGCTATGAGTCGGTAAGTGATTTTTGTTTTATGCAGTAACATTCCAACAACTGTATGTCACGGCAAGAGACACCAGACAGGGGCACACATTGTACCCTTGACCCGTGGGGGGCTCGAGCCAGGGCCATTAACCCCCCGGCTATCTCACCGCCCCTGTAACAGACGATGAACTTGCAGCATCTATAGAACATTGTGTTCATTGTCGCTGTCATTGGATTGCACAGTTGATACGTAACTAAAATAATTGGTTGATCGCCTAATAGACGGAGTGAGTGAGTGAGTTGGGTTTAACGCCACTTTTAACAGTATTCCAGTTATATCACGGCGTGTCAGCTTAATGTAGGAGGAAAGCCCGAAGTGAAGCAGGTCGCAGATATTTACCACTTCGGTTAAACCCACGAGCACGGTTATGGTGCTGACAAACCTAGAAACATAATCTGGGTGAACCGGGATTCGAACCCACAATCATAGGTTTCTGGCGTGCCCAAGGGACGGAACTCTGCACAGCGAATCTCGCCGCCTTAGACGACTGGGCCACCCGAGTATGGTATTAAAATATGACACTTGACTACCGTTATGGTCGCCCGAAAGACGTTTGGTTAAACTCAGTGACTGCTGTACCAAGAAGGTGGCTTCAGTACGAATGGTTATGTATGAAAGTCACTGATCGTCTTTCAGGCACAGAAGGCAAAAGGGAAATCAGATTCCAACATTGCGAGGCAGCCATCATCGAGGAAGCCAAAGAAAATGAACCAAAATGTCAACGAGGTCAGTATTTTAATCAAACGCTTGTATGTATATCTGGGGGTAGAGGTGGGGTGAAATGGGGTTTAACGTCGCGTCCAAGATTATTGCACTTATATAGCGACGTGCATGCACGTTTGTGTGTGTGTGTGTGTGTGTGTGTGTGTGTGTGTGGCTGCTTGTACTAGTCCGGACTGATGCCGATTTATAGTGCTAGCTCACTGAGATACCATGCCGCAGTTTAACATGAATACCCCACTCAGACACACTATACTGACTCCGAGCCGACCAAACCGTGTATTATCCCCTTAATGCCGAGCGCCAGACAGGGTAACAAGTACCATCTTTAAACCTTTTTGGGGGGTATGACGCGGCCGGGGATCGAACCCCGGACCTTCCGCTCTCCGGGCGGACGCTTTACCACTAGACCACGGAGGCGGTCATCTAGGGGTAGAAGACCAGTACATGTCGTGGAAACACAGTTCGGGCAAGGGATACCATACGAAATTCACACTGGTCCTCACTGACTAGCAGCATTTCAGGGCTATAATTCTGACCCCGTTCTTGATTCTACAATTTTGCTATAAATTGGAACTAGATAAAAATGACACTCAGAAAAAGGAAAACATTTTGTTTCATTCAAGCAGGACGAACTACAAACTCCGAGGACTACTTCAATAACATTTACTCTAGTCCTCTGGAATACTCTTAAAAAACGAATTTCGAAGGCAGGATTTCATACTATTCATACTGCATATATTAGTAAAACATTTAGAAATCGTTTTGATAGTTATCAGATGTATTCATCTAAATTAGACTTTGTTCAAGTGGACGCTTTCATATTTTTTACTTCTAACAAAACTATATGTAGAGGTAAGACTGTCATGTGTCCAAAAGCCAATTTAAGAGGTATTCAGGCGCGGTTTGCTAATATTCAAACATGATCAAGTCTTTGCCCCGAGCTGACTTTCCGAAGAGATGCTAATTTAAACCCAGTTCAAGCATATGGTAAAAGATCAACTTTGCACTTAGGTAGATGTTCCTTGGCATTCGAAAAATATTTTCGCATCCTTAGCCATTACTGTGAAACGCCAGAAAGAATAAGGTATATAGGTGTCACGTCTATGAATGTGTTTGATAAATTTTCCAAATATGTTCTTATCTTACTCGTCCTTTAAAGAGGTGTGGACGTAGGTAGCCATGTGGATAAATCGTTCGCTCGTCTCACTGAAGACCTGAGTTCGATCTTCCAATGTGTGAATCGACTATGGTAGTAAAAGTAATTTTCTAAAAAGACATCACACGTTGTGGAAGTACTTGAAACATCCAGCAAAGTTTTCCCTATTGAAAGTTCTTTAATTTTTACCTTCTCAATGGGGTCAAGAGTTGGGTGTATCGATTGGTCGAACTACCGATCGTGATATAGTCCAAAAGAACGGTATGTATTGTGTTGTTTCGTCTATTCCCCTGTTGTTGCACCTCAGGACAGACACCATAAGGACAAGGATGTGGAACAACTGGCCAATCAGACCGAGCAGCTGTATACTGACCTCAACAACAAGGCGGCGGCCAGCGTCCAGTCTGCCAGACAGATGAACAATGAACTCAGGTCTTCGTTTGACCAGGATGCCAACAGGGGCAAGAGGGCCACGCCACAGAACGGGCATAGGTAGGTCAGGGGTGATGGGCCACGCCACAGAACGGGAATTGGTAGGTCAGGGGTGATGGGCCACGCCACAGAACGGGAATTGGTTGGTCAGGGGTGATGGGCCACGCCACAGAACGGGCATAGGTAGGTCAGGGGTGACAGGGCCACGCCACAGAACGGGAATTGGTCAGGGGTGATGGGCCACGCCACAGAACGGGCATAGGTAGGTCAGGGGTGACTTGGTCACGCCACAGACGGGCATAGGTTGGTCAGGGGTGACTTGGTCACGCCACAGACGGGCATTGGTTGGTCAGATATGACTTGGTCACGCCACAGAACGGGCATAGGTAGGTCAGGGGTGACAGGGCCACGCCACAGAACGGGCATAGGTAGGTCAGGGGTGATCGGCCACGATACAGAACAGGAATTGGTAGGTCAGGGGTGATGGGCCACGCAACAGAAAGGTTTTGGTTTGGCTTGTTGTTTAACGCCGCACTTAGCAATATTCCAGCTATATGACGGCGGTCTGTAAATAATCCAGTCTGAACCAGACAATCCAGTAATTGATATCATGAGCATCGATCCACACAATTGGGATTGCGAGCCCGACCACACGATCCTATTGGTCGCCTCTCACGACAAGCATAGTCGCCTTTTACGGCAAGAATGGGTTGCTGAAGACCTATTCTACCCCGGATCTTCACGGGTCCCACAGAAGGGCATGGGTAGGTCAGGGATGACGTGGCCATGTCACAGAACGGGCATGGTAGATCAGGGGTGTCAGGGGCCATGCCATAAAATGGGCATAGTTCATTCTGGGACCACAGGGACCAAGCCACAGAACGGGCATATACTAGTATACGTCAGGGTATTTCATGTTTGGTTGTTGGGGCAGCTTGCATGAAGGAAACAAGTTTCTCACTGACTGCATAATGGTTCTTGTGCCAGAATCATTTAACACATAAATAGGAGCATTTCAAAATGTTTCTCATTTTTTTAAAGGGTGGTGGGATAGCCTAGTTGTTTGAGCGTTCGGTTCTCACACGGAAGGCCCGGGTTTAATTCCCCATATGCAATCAGTGAAGCCCATTTCTAGTGTCCCTCGTTATTATATTGCTGGAGGGGCGGTCGTGTAGCCTAGTGGTTAAAGCGTTCGCTCGTCATGCCGAAGACCCGGGTTCGATTCCCGACATGGGTACAATGTGTGAAGCCCATTTCTGGTGCCCCCCGCCGTGATATTGCTGGAATATTGCTAAAAGCGGCATAAAAAAAAATACCCACTCACTATATTGCTGGAATATTGCTCAAAGCGGCGTAAAAAAAATACTCACTCACTATATTGCTGGAATATTGCAAAAAGGGCGGCGTAAAACCATACTCACTCACTGATTATTCCATGAACACTATGGCGCTCCGGCCAAACGTATAAAAGGCCTAAGGCATTTGCTGTCTGAAATGCCACTAGTGTTAACCAAGGTGGAATAGAGCCAGCCCATTGATGCAGGTGTTTCAAGAGAATCGATGGCGACATACACACGCATCCAATGAGGAACAAGGCCAAAGCATAACGTGGAAACACACATCCTGCACCCGTGTTGGAGAGGATTTTACATATGATTCTATTAATCGACTCTCGATCATAGTGACACTTTAAGAAGCGCCGTAAAATGTCCGTGTAGACAGCTCTATGGGTACCCTTAAAACCTGACTAACTCTGTCTTTAGTGGCGAAAACGAAACGAAGAAGAGTCGGAGGGAACGACAGCGAGATGAGCAGAAACGCAGAGAGGAGGAGTTTCACCGGCTGCTGGTGAAGGCCTACAGACCCGAGACATGCTTGCCGGAACAGAAAGGTAACTCACTACCACCAAGAGGCAGTACAGTAAACTACGTTTATAACGAACACGCTTATAACGAACTGATAGATATCAGGAACTTAATTTTTAGTCCCTGCCATTTGTTGCATATATGCTGTATATATGCTTATAACGAACTACGGTTATAACGAACTAAAAAAAGTGGTCCCTTTGAGTTTGCTATAACCGTAGTTTACTGTACCTAAAACGACTGATAACATCAGTCCAATCCACGTTTTGTTTGTTTGTTTGTTTGTTTGATGTTTAACGCTACACTCAGCAATATGACGACGGTCTGTAAATAATCGAATCTGGACCAGACAATCCAGTGATTGACATCAGGAGCATAATCTTTTTTTAGTATTCATACACTTTCTCTTTTTAGACAGACAGACAGACATACAGACAGATTTATCTCGTATGTATGGCCATGAGGCCAAAAGTACAATGACATTTTGTTGTAAGAGAATTTAGCATGAGCATGATCTGTTTCCTAGGTAAAGACGGCTCAGGACGAGGTAGAAACACTTCCTTGGGTCTAACCCGGTCTAAGACCATGGTGTCTACACAGGGTACCCCCTCCCCCTCCAGACCTGTGTCCGTCTACTCCAAGCGCTCCACCGCCAGTCAGCCACGTCCATCCAGGCCGACCACCACCGTCATGACCCCCTATGGCACACGCAAGGTCCCCATCGGGGAACCAACAGGTACGTCATGGAGAATACAATTCTGTCGCACCTTATATTGACGTTGGGTGGCTCAGTGGTGTAAGTGTTAGCTAATCAAGCCGTAATCCTGGTGCGATTTCCCTCATTGGTACATTGTGTGAAGCCCATTTCTGGAGGTTTAAACTGATATTTCTCTTGTCCGAAATGTCTGCGAAAACCAGACCAAAAAATGGTGAACGCTACGTGTATGAGTGAGTGAGTGAGTTGGGTTTAACGCCGCTTTTAGCAGTATTCCAGTTATATCGCGGCGTGTCAGCTTAATGTGGGAGGAAAGCCCGAAGTGATGCAGGTCTAAGACGTTTACCACTTCGGGGAAACCCACGAGCACGGGTATGATGTTTACAAACCTAGAAACATAATGGGGACGAACCGGGATTCGAACCCACTATCATAGGTTTCAGGCGTGCCCAAGGGACGCAACTCTGCACAGCGAATTGCGGCGACTGGGCCACCCGTGCCCCCTAAAAAATGGTGAACGCACTGTTCACGCTACATACATTGAATGGTGTACTGTATCTCCAACACTAGTGCACAGACGCTAAACGTCTTTACAGTGGAGTGAGCAATGGTGGCCAAGTCGTCTTAGGCGCCGGGATTCGCTGCGCAGAGTTGCGTCTCTTGGGCACACCAGAAACCCATGATTTTGGGTTCGAATCCCGGTTCGCCCCGATTATGTTTCTAGGTTTGTCAGCACCATACCCATGCTTGTGGATTTCAACAAAGTCGTTAACGTCTGAGACATCTATCAATTCTGGTTTTCTCCGACATCAAACCGACACGAGCTGATATAACTTGAATGCTGTTTAAAGTGGCGTTAAACCTAGCTCACTCACTCACTCACTCACTCACTCACTCACTCTTTAGAGTGGATTCGTACGGATTAACACATTTCCGCAATATAGGTGCCAGACCTATCACATGAGCTTTCCTCCGCCGTGATATAACTGAAATACTGTTCAAAGCAGCGTTAACCCCAACTCACTCACTCACTCGACGTATTCTTGTTTCTTTCACACCTGTTTCTCATTTCAGTCCTTCCTGTGATTGACACGAAACACGACGAGAAGACGAAACTAAATGGGAAACATCAACCCTCTCCCCAAAAGGAGTCTGAAGTTTGACGACTCTTGGTTCTACCGTGTCTTGGAGCCAGCAGTACTGCTGTTACTATTTATTAAAGATCTCTGTGATAAACTTTGTGGTTGTTTGCGTGACAGCCATGTCTGAAAGTGTGTGGAAGGAATTTCATGACGTCATGATTCATTTACAAATCAGTAGTAGGGTTAGTGGTATGATTTATAGATTTAAACAACAAATACGGCATGAAAATGTTTCACAAAATGATAACCCAGCTGATTTAAAAATCATGTTTTGTGCAGACACCGGTCGTGAATTTCCGTGTCCACTCGTACCATTCCGTTACGAGTGGTGACCAATACAGACTATCGATTGTGGACAGTGAGAACCTTTATCATTTACATTTCAATTCAATGGAATTTTGATTCGCTTCTGTTTCGGATGGGGGTAGGGGGGGGGGGGGGGGGGCTAGATTGTTCATCTAAGATAATGAATTTTGATAGTTTTGGATAATTCGAGCCGAATATTCACAGAAATGAGGCGACTGGCCAGTAATATTGAGATGCTGTCCACTTTTTTATTCTGTTCATCATTTAGAGGCGATCTGTCTTAAGAATACACAAAGGAAATGTTTCTTCATGTTTGAATAAATATGTCATACTGTCAATTAAAACTTATTCACGAAAGACCGTTTCCCGACTGGCACCATTCTGTTCCTACGTACATGTGGTTGTTTTCTTTGAAGACATATAGCTAGCTCGCCAAAGATTCACTCTCAGCATCAACGGTGCCAAGTAGAAATAGCATTAGTCTGGTTTGGACATTTGATCCCCTGTTCTCGGCTGCAGAACTCATGTCAAAACTATCCCTACTTACATATGCAAACTTGAGGCTAGTTCCTATACGTATATGCAAACTTTAGGTTTGTCAAATTAAATTTCGTTTTGTACCAGATTCCAACTTTTTGCACACGTAAAACCATTCTAGATTGTTCGCAAGGGGTCCTTGCAGTGGGCAATATGGCCTTTGGTCCTTCTCTTCTATTTCGAACCGCAGAGGGCGTTGCCGGAAGAGGTCACGTGGTACATTAGAATCAAGTTTACTGTTATAGATTTCTGACCTATTTTAAAGATATCCATCCTCCATAAACCAGTTCAAGAAACTGTAACTGAAACTGTTTGGTTGTAACCAGGCATGCAGTATTAGCGTTCTGGGTTTGAAATCAGTACCTGTTAGCAATTTTGTTAACCATAATTTATATTAACTCGATATGGTTAAGACAACCCATGCGTAATCCGTACCTGCGTGCATATGTGATATAAACACTCTGCTTGTCGCGAAGTACAACTCGAGACATGTTCGAGTGTTCCTACTTCGAGTTAACGAATGTTTCACTGTACGGGCCGATCCTACTAGCTGATAGTATTCTAGTTTAGCAACGGACTCAACTACTGAACGACACTTTCCGTTTGTAGTCAGTAAGTTATTGCGTTGGATGTTATTTTGTGTTATTATTCAACAGTGTACTGCTGAATTCAAAGCATCGTCTCGAGGCAAGGGAGTTAACTGAGTTAAAAGTCTTGTTTCCATTCAGTTACCTCCCTTGTCTCGGGATGAGGAATTCAAGGTAGCTATGCAAATCTTTAGTTATGCCATCGCAAGGTTATACACGAAACATTCTCCACCCATTTTCCTCCATATATTCATATTTACATACATATAGCATGTCAGCATTATTTTCTTTCCCTGTATACATCTGAAAAGCCAAACCATTGACACTGTACTTTGATAGCATTGCCATTTGTATGAAGACGTGAGATACCCCTGCATGTATATTGCCGATTTCACTTGATTTATATCTTTTGGGTAATATCACGAATATTTGTACATACTGTTAATTTATAATACAATATTTCAAATGAAATGGTTGTTGTTGTCATTGCGAAAACTTGTTAATACATGTATTTCTGGGGGCATGGGTGGCCTAGTCGTCTAAGGCACCGCGATTCGCTGTGCAGAGTTGCGTCCCTTGGGCACGCCAGAAACTTATGATTGTAGGTTCGAATATCGGTTCGCCCCGATTATATTTCTAGGTTTGTCCGGCCCATATCCGTCCTCTTGGGTTTCACCGAAGTGGTAAATGTATCAGACCTTAATCACTTCAGGCTTTCTTCCTACATTAAGCTGACACGCGATACGGTTCAAAGCGGCGTTAAACCCAACCCAACTCACTCACTCGCATGTATTTTCCCACACACCTACGAGTCTAGTGTCTGGTGATGCTATGTTTACCAAAACAACTCGAACTGCAGGTGTGGAATTGACATAGCTTGAGTGTCCAGTCGTACTGACCTTTAGCCTGCTGATAAAATGTAGCATAGTTCCTTGTCAGCCTGGATGGACAGGATCTTACCGATGACCAGCGCAACCGACATGTACTTTCTAGAGCAACCCCAACATCACCCACATTGTACCTATGTAATGAACGGAGAAGAATGTACGCCTAGTGTCCCTTTCTCGTCGTTAAAGTTTTGTTTTTGTTTGTTTGTTGTTTAACGCCACACGCAACAATTTTCCAACTACATGACGTCGGTGTGTACATAATCGAGTCTGGACCAGACAATCCAGTGATTGACATCATGAGCATCGATCTTCGCAATTGGGATCAATGACATGCATCAACCAAGTCAGCGAGCCTGACCACCAGATCCCCTTAGTCGCCTCTTACGACAACCATAGTCGCCTCTTACGACAAGCATGGGTTGCTGAAGTCCTATTCTACCCCGAATCTTCATGGGTCTCTCGTTGTTAAAGCTGTATAATGAGAATCGGGTAGTTGTTACGTGTGACCTACTGACCTACCATCACGTGATACCCCGACAGCGTGGATCGTGTGTCGTGCTATCAAGTACTTGCCTGGGTTATTTACAGGCCTCCGTGATATTGCTGGATAATTGCTGGAATATTGCTTTCTGCGGCGTTACATCTTACCTCTACGGTGGCCCATAAGGGACATGGAGTCTGTTTTTCAATATTTTGATATTTCACTTACTTTTATGGTAACCTTTTGCAAATTAACACTACTTGTCATACAAATATGTGATAAATCATGTATAAAAACAACCGAAAACATGGAAAATGTACTTTCAAGTAGCTATAGAATTGCTGAAATGTGAAGCGAAAATGTCAAAAACTAAAATGGAAAAGTCAAAAACAAAAACGAAAATGTCAAAAACTAATAAGATAATACAGAAAACTATTCCCACCGCGGTGTAAATAGTTTTCTGTATTTCCATTTTAGTTTTTGACATTTTCGCTTCACTTTTCAGCGATTCAGTATCTACTTTATACATGATTTATCAAATATTTGTATGACAAATCGTGTTAATTTGCAAAAGGTTACGATAACAGTAAGTGAAATATCAAAATATTGAAAAACAGACTCCATGTCCCTTATGGGCCACCTTATACCTCACCTACACACAAAGAATGGACGTTCATGAATTACGATTGCAAATGATTACTGAAACAGCAGAATAATATTCCTGTATGATTTTTATTGCGGTCGAGGCATGAGTGGCACAGTCGTCTGAGGCGTCGCAATTCGCTGGGTAGAGTTGCGTCCCTTTGGCGTGCCAGTTACCTGTGATCATGGTTTCATATCTCAGATTTCCCCTTTCTGGTTGTATCAGCATCATAAACGTCTGAGACCTGCATCACTTCGGGATTTCCTCCAACATTAAGCTAACGTCGTGATGTAACTTAAATACTGTTCAAAGCGATGTTAAACCAATCTCACACACACGCTCTTTTAATTGTCACCAGAAAGGAAATAGTCATGCGTGTATACACTTGATTATAAACAAAGAGTTCGAGAGGTGAGGTGAAATGGGTTTATTTTGTCGCGTTCAATATTATTGTATTTATGGAGCGACGTACATGCGCGTGTGTGAGTGCGGCTGATTGTACTAGTCCGGACTAATGCCAGTTATATTGTGTTAGCCCACTGAGAACCATGCCGCAGTTTAACATGAATACCCCACTCAGACACAGAATACTGACCCCGAGCCGACCAGTCCTTTTTTAACCTCCTTTATGTCGAGCGCCAGGCAGGGTAACAACAAGTACCATGTTTAACATCTTTTTGTATGACGGCCGAGGATCAATCCACCTTCCGCTCGCCAGACAGTGTCGGACGCGGACCACGGACGCGGTCGGTTAATCTTTAATAATAATATACAGCAAAGTACGGTTATAACGAACACGCTTATAACGAACTGACGGATATAACGAACTATTTTTTTGGTCCTGTCTATTTGCTGTATATATTCCGTACATTATCTTATAGCGAACTACGGTTACAACGAACCGTAGAATTAGTGGTCCCTTTGAGTTCGTTATAACCGTAGTTTACTGTAAATACGTCAAGTATCCGTCCCTGTCTGCTTGATATATGAGCGTGTGCCTACGTGCAGCAGTACACATCGCCACACTGTATACACCCATTTTGTCTACGAGTTCCTCCCGACTGCCGGTTATTGATCGACTGTCAACTACGCCAGCAATAGCGGCCTAGTTGGAGTTATCTCCCTTCGAGCGCCTCACTCAGCATTCGTTCATGGCAGAATCTCCTCCAAGCTTGCTGTGGGGAATAACCATATATGTTCCAATAGCGAAAACATGGAGGCCAAGTCTGGGCTAGGAAAACTATGGCTGTTTGTTAATAAACAGGTTCTAGTTGCAAGCGGCTGTAATACTGTTAACAAACAGATTAAAATCTTCATTCACCTCACGGCAATGTAAAAACACACCACTGATCAAATGGAGCATGGCCGTGTTTCAAAAAGCGACAGTAGCGCTAACACTGTCTTAAGTTCAAGTCTAACAGTCGTTACACTTTGGGCGCTTTGTGATCAGAATGTTGTGTCACTATGTGAAATATTTCAGTCGTACTACGACAAAGAACACCAGCCTTAGAAATCCGTGAAGATTCCGGGGTAGAATAGGTCTTCAACAACCCATGCTTGCCGTAAAAGGTGACTATGCTTGTCGTAAAAGGCGACTAACAGGATCGGGTGGTCAGGCTCGCTGACTTGGCTGATGCATGATATCGTATCCCAATTGCGTGGATCGATGCTCATGATGTCAATCACTGGATTGTCTGTTCCATACACGATTATTTACCGTCCGCCGTATATAGCTGGAATATTGCTAAGTGCGGCGTTAAACAACAAACAAACAAACTAGTCCTCAGAGTTTGTAGCTAGTCCTGCTTGAAAGAGACAAAAATGTTACTACAGTAAACTACGGTTATAACGAACTCAAAGGGACCACTAATTTTAATTCGTTGTAACCGTAGTTCGCTTTAAGCGTGTTCGTTATAACCGTACTTTGTTGTATGTGTAATTTTCTGTAAGTTCTATTCAGTTTCAATTTGTAGC